TAGAACCTGCTTAACATACTTCTTATATTTAGTAGGGTTCTTTAAGTAGATAATAATATTATCTATATACGTAGTATAGAATATATTAAGGATATCTATTAGTATATCGTTTATATAATATTAGTATATGGCTAGTCTATTAGTTAGTCTAAAAGGTATAACTTTATACTTATACGACCTATATCTTATCTAGAACATAGTTAATTCTTTAGAGTCCAGGTCTATTTATATATAGTGGAAGGCCTATTAGACATCTAGCTTAGTAAATACCCTAGCCTTAAATAGTTATTAAAAGGTCTTCTTAATAAGGGGTAAAGGGTAATAATCCTTTTGCGTAATATTATTTAGGCGTTAGTAGTCTATATAGAATTAGAGACTACTATTAGGTTTCTTAATAAATAAGATAGATGTAGTAAAGGGAGCCTAGCTAGCCTTAATAAAGCCCTTATTTAGGTTATTAATAATATATTCCTAAGTAATCTTAAGTTTATAGGTTAACTACTAATAAAGGGACTTATGCCCTAAGGTGTAGTTTAGATCCACTTTAATCCTATAATCCTATTTCTTATAGGTAGGGAGTATATTTAAGGCATCTTTTAAGAATACGTCTAGGTAGTTATAGTATTATAAGGGGAGCTTCTACTTTATTTATTATTCCTCTATCTTGCCCTCCTTCTAGGTAAGAGGGTCTTTCTAATATTTATCTAGAATCTTATTAATCTTATATAGACTAGTCTAAAAGACTTTATAGTCCTAATACTTTAGGTATAGGTTTATTATAGGAGCTCTAATTAGGCAGATATTAACTAACTCCTCCTTTATAAGAGGGGATAGCTATAGTAGTAGAACTAAGGGCGTATGCTTTAGGATTTATTTTAAGGTCTTTAGTTTTTATAGTTATTTTTATTTTAATTTTATAGTTTCAATTTCTAGTAGCTAATCTTAGCGATTAGCGTCCTACTAGTGCTATAGTAATAGGGTTATGTTCTATAGTAAACTAATATGCGTAGTTAAGGTGTAGTTCTAGGGGCTATTATTAGGGGCCTTATCTTTCTATATTAGTTATTTATTAGCGTAATTAAGAAGGACGCGGGAGTAGGCTAGCTATTTCTTTCCTAGAATAAGGTTATAGCCTTTTAGGTTTAAAATAAGGAAAGGGATCTATTGCTAGGTCCTACTAGTAATTTATAAAGTTAAATAAATAAAATAGGTGATTTATTAGGTGGACGTGCTATTATACCCTTATACCCTATATGGGGTAGGAAGAGGCTAATATAGGGCGTTATAAAACTGCTTAGTATGTTTTATAAAGGCGTTATTAATAAAGGCATATCCTATTACTCTAGTGTTAATTAGTATAGAGGTTTTAATTCTAAGTCTATTATTTGCTATTATATATAAGACCTTAAATGTATTCCCTCCTAGCTATTAACTAAGATTAAACTCTTATATGTTAATCTTAAATATCCCTAGGTAGGAGTCTTACCCTAGAGTTCCTTGTTTCCTAAGTCTTCTAGCTCCTTAATAGAGGTAATCTTTCCTTTCTAGGGATAGTTATATACTAAGTATCCTATCTTCTTATACTTAAAGCAAGTACTAAGTTAGGAGAGTAGTTGCTTGCTAGAGTTATTATACTAAGGACATCTATTAGCACTAGTAGTAGATATAATATAAGAGGCGGTAGTAGTAGGGACTAGCATAGAGGTTATAACTATCCTATCTATAAGGGTATAGAATAAAGCTAGGGATAGAGATAATCTATTAGTGCAGCCCTTAACCTAATTACGCTTTCCTGTAATTAGCTGCAGCTAGGAATTAATATTAGTATAGTAGCAGGCAAATTTATATATAGATAGCTTTTCTAAATACTTAGGGAGGACTTTATCTCAAAGATTAAAAGATAGCTTCTTATTTAACTCATATAGCAGTTTAGAGGAGGCAATCTAGGCCTCTTTAGATAAGTAGAGGAAGTTAGTATAGAAGATATAGAAGGCCTTATTACTCTTTATATATAAGTTCTTAAAAGATTATTAGGCCTTATCCTTTTAGTTAGGGTCCTTATAGATCTTATGCAGGTATGCTAATAGTTCTTTAATATTCTAGTATTTACCTGAAGCGCCGGGATAGAGTTAGAGGGAGGTATGCTTTATAGCATTGCCTAAGAGACAGCTTACTATATAGTTTAATTTTAGGCTGTTATTTAGGAAGAAGTCTATATTACTATAAAGTTTTCCTTAGATATAAATAATCTAGTCCTTAAAAGTAAGGGCGTCTCTCTTCTATTCTAAGAATAGAGGTAGGTTAGAAAGCTTATAGGATTAAGGCACTTATACCTATATAGGTACTAGTTTATAAGCCCTAGTATTTATAGCTCTCTCTTAAAGCTTAACTTAATTAGCATACTCTTAGATAGTAATATTCTTATCCTCTAATATCTATTAGCTTGCCTAAAAGGCGGTAATAGTGTCCTCTAGTTATTAGTTAAGCTTATATAGCTCTTTATTAGTAGTAAAGGTCTAGAGTACTTATTTGCAGGTATCTTTATAGAGGATAATTATATTATTAATTTAGGGAAGGAGATCTCCTACCTTAAGGTTAGCGTCTAGGTTCTATTATAAATACTTAATATTCTATTTACTATGTATAATAGTAGTAAAGGTTAAGCATTAGGACTTAGATTTAGCTCTTAGTGTCTTCTTCTTCTTCTTCTTATTAGGGAGAGCATAGTTATTATCTATCTCTTATTTGCTGCCTATAGCAGTTGCTAGGTAGTTATTATTATTATCTATTACTAGTCTTAATAGACCTATAGAGCTAGTAGTGCTAGGGCAAGGAAGTAGTAGGATTCGTTTATTAACTATAGTATCTAACTAGGTCGAGTTTATAATATTATTTATTTAGAGTATTAATTAGTTAGGTTTATGCTATTTTAGGAGGTGGGTTTTAGTCTTTTATTATACTTTATATTAGGTGCATTTAATTTGGAATCCTTACTAGGATTAGTTAAGTGGAGAGCTTAGAATAATATTATAATTATAAATCCTTATAGGTATAGCCTAGTATAAGGTTAAATCAAATGTAATTCTAAGCTAAAGAGAAAAGAAAGAAAGTCTAGAATACAGATTGTAGGTGCGAATATATATGCACTTGGCTAATTAGCCCGTGGCTGGGAAAGGTGGCTGGTGGTCGGGTGGCTGGTTAAGCGAGAGGCTGGTGCCACGCCGAAGTGCCGACGTGCCGATGTCACGTGATGTGTCATGTGACCAGATCCGTGACAATATTAGTGGCTCTAGCTAGCGGAAGGGACTATATATATAAAAATAGACACGTCTAATGCAACTTTTAGCTAGTTGCTATCCCATGCTAGGCCTTCTAGTTTATCTGTACTAAATAATGCATTATATGTAGTATCTATTACTATAACGTCATCTTCTGCCGCTGCAGACCGCAGGGGTAGGAGGGCGGGGGGGGAGGAGGGAAGAGGAGGCAGTTAGGAGGCCTTTAGGGTTAAAAACCCTTTAGATGACCCGCATTTACTTATTTTCCTAGTAAGAACTATGAGGGTAGGCTTAAAAGAAAGCTAAGATCAAGGCGGTCAATATGCTGGCGCGATCGTTCGATTTAGACGGTTGTGGCAAAAGTTATAGGTGAATTCGTGAAAATCGGAAAAGTTGTATTTAATATATTGCTTAAAGTTTACTTCTAGTCGCAACGATGCATGCTTTTTCCCGTCCTTACTCGTCACAGCCGTTCAAGTTCGAGGCTGTATGTCACGGGTGAGTCACGTATACACAGAGGCTCAATGTGGTATTCAACAAGTTCGATAAAGGAGAGGAGCATCTTCGTCTGAATCCGAAGAAAAGTCAGCGCTCCCCTGTCAAGGCTTAGTAAGCACAGGTAGTAAGCACAGGCATAGCCAGTGCTTTACCCCTAGGGCTCGCCCCTTTACACTGTAACTCGGGATAGCGGGCTGGACTTGTTGAAAACTTTGCTCGAGGCAGAAGACGGGGACGGGAACAGGATGTAGAGGCTATGCTACACAAGATCCCAAAGAGCATCTGCAGCCGGGAAGTCATGGCTTGCAGTCCAGGAAATAAGACACGAACCATGGCTCAGAGACCGGCATTTTTGCTTCTCGAGTCTGGGGCTGCATGGGAAGTTGTTCTTTGGCCGATGCTTGAGGATGAGGAAGCATCGAGTATATACAGTACTTATGAGGAAACGACATATCATCAAGCCACAGGCCACCATCAGCCACGCCCATAACTATCGCGTCTAGCCCCACCTCCCTTCCCTTCCAACATCTCTCTCTGTTTGTTTGCTCTTTCTTTTATGTATTTGAAATCATCATTGGTAGAAGATTCCCAACCGTAGGTTGCAGTAGATCTTTTATGATTATCCTAAATATTCTCCTGTTGGGTTCTACTACATTCCCGCATTTCTTTGCTACGTATGGAGTTTTCTAAAGGCTGAACTTTGATTTGACTATTCAATGCATCTCAAGTGGATGAAGATGAACAGAGCATAATGTGCTTTCTTTTTGAACTGCAGCGCATTTCCCCTGATCCCCAGGTTGTTGCTGGGGTCAGCAGGATCGATTGCGGGAAAGCGCTCAAATTGATCAAGAGAAAGGGAGCACCACCCGGATGGAGAGAGATGGGGTGCAAGCACGGGTGATATTGGAACATAAAAAAAGGAAAGGGCCACTTGGAAAGAATGAAAGGAACGAAATTGGTTTTGATAACAAGATCTAAGTGTATCCAGCTGATATACGAGCACGAGCTTTCTGGAGAAATAAAAAGAGAGGGTTTTGTGGATGCGACACATGACTTATTCAGAGTCCACGAGGTTCAATTGACTTTTATGCAGAGCTATCTATTCCTCCAGCTCGGCAGACCATATCATCAAAGTAGAAAGGGAGGGTATCAACAAGCAAAGTGCTATGCTTTAGATAGGTACATGCTCATGAAGACTCCAAGCGCCGCCCATTTTCCATTCCTCTAGTAGAAGAAACCAATAATCTTGCCAGCGACGTGCTTGCGACGCGCCTCCTCGTGGTCCATGATACCGGCCGAGGTAGTCAGGACCATGTATCCGAATTGACGGGAAGGCAGGAGTTTGACAACCCACTTCTCAAGGTCGCCGAGGCGGACGTTGAAGCGGGGGGAGATGACACCGGTCTTGTTGAGGCGGCCGTTGAGCTGGATGACGATCTTGCCAGAGCGGTGATCATCGACTTCCTCGAACTCGCCGATGTAGCCTGGAGAGAAAGATTGTCAGTGATGTTGCGAAAGATTAAACGTGTAACGTCAGGGTGAAAGTCAGAGAACGTGTAAGATCCTCGCAATAGTATGATATATCGGCAACTTAAAGGACTATGGTCGTGTGGTATTGAGACCGTCGTCTAGTTATCATGCCGAATGGGTAAAAAGAAAAGACAGGCTCGTGCCAACATACCGTGCTTCTGCATGACGCTGAGGAACTTGACGATGACCTTGGAAGAAGGATGGATGAGAACCTGACGCTTTCCGGACTTCTCGGCATTGTTGATGCTGTTGAGCGCATCGTTGAGGACGGAGGTCTTGACCATTTTGGCGGTTGGGAGATTCTCAGATCGATTTGATATGGAAATGAGGTATCTGCGCAGAAAGAAAAAAGTTGCATGTTAGCCTTCTTGGGCTCCTGAGCATGGAGAGTGCCCTCATGATTGACAAGAGGGTTCTGCAGCTCGTCGTATAGAGAAGATCAGTGTCGACATCTTTCAATGGCTATGGTTCTGTTCATCATAGTGGGTGTGAAATTTTGCGAAATTACGAAATGCCCTTTAACAATGTTACAGTCCCAGTCGCACATTGAGTAGATGCCGATTGTCCCCTCTGCCTATCATGAAGGGCTTTCGATTATGTTGTAATGGAAATACATACCTCAAAGTTGCGTTTTGCGTGGTCGTCGAAGGATTGATGCTTTTCGTGAGTCGCGAAGTTCAGATAAATTTGCGTGGAATTTCTGTGTGGGGATGGAAGTTTGCGCTTAGTCATCAGGATCGCGTAGTTGGCCAATCATATTTGCGAGCATACCCTTCACGAGTGCTGCTTGAACGCACCAAACTTTTGGATCACCACAAATCATCAAGCGAATTTCTCGATCTTTCAACTTCTTGACATTTACACCAATCTTCGAGGACCTGAGGATATCAAACACAAGTCAAGATGGTGAGTGCGCATCCATCCATCAATCCCTTCCTCAAGCGAGAAGACATTGGAATATTCCTATTCTCGAGTTCTGTTGGCCTCATACCAATGCGCAAGCTGCCTCCTACTTGCGACCGCCTTCGACTCAGCATCATATTCATTCATACCTACTCTTTGAAAACCTCAAACTAACCTTTCAAAAGTCTGACGCAGAAGATAACGCATCCAACGCCCCCGATGTCGCCGAGGCCGACGAAGTTGAAGTCTCTGGAGATGCCGCATCCAAGGGACAAATGTCTGTCCTGGACGCTTTGAAGGGTGTTCTCAAGCTTGCCCTCATGCACGATGGTCTTGCCCGTGGTCTCCGTGAAGCCTCCAAGGCCCTCGACAGACGCCAAGCACACATGTGTGTCCTGAACGAAGCATGCGAGGAGGAAGCATACAAGAAGCTGGTCGTTGCGCTGTGCTCCGAGCACAAGATTCCTTTGATCAAGGTTCCTGATGGAAAGCAATTGGGCGAGTGGGCTGGTTTGTGTAAGTATTCCATGCGAGGTTATGTTTGGACAGAGCTGATATTATTTGATAGGTGTGTTGGACCGTGAGGGAAACGCACGCAAGGTTGTCAACTGCTCCTGCGTTGTTGTCAAGGACTGGGGTGAGGAGTCTCAAGAGCGATCGATCCTCCTCAACTACTTCCAGACCGAACAGTAAAGCCAAAAAGGGATGGACGGATGGATGAACGGAGTTTGATTGCGGCGGATAGACATTGGCCATATTGAGTTTTCCTTCAGATGTATTCTAAATGCATAGGCGAGCAATAAAGTGGCATATGGGCGCAAACCAAGAACGTATGGAACTGTGACACATGACTCGATGCGCCAAACTCCTGACCTCTCGACCTTTTGATAAACCAATTCCACTCCATTCATAGCTCTGCCCCGTCATTTTCTTCCTTCAACCATGATAATATGATACCCAAACCCCGTCTTAACCTCCACATACTTCGGACTCGCAGTCGTAGAAGCTTCCAGCTCAAAAGCAGCCGCCTCAAACGTAGGATCAAGATCACCTCTCGTCTTCCAACCCAGCAAACCACCTATATATCCATCATCAGCACTCAAGCCCCCTTAAAAGCATGGATAAAACACACCAACTCTCGCCTTATCCTCCGAAAACTCCCTCGCAACATCATCAAACTTGGCGCCTCCCCTCAATTTCTCAAGCGCTTCTTCCTTCTTCCCATGTTTCTCACACTATAAAGCATCAGATCTATCCACTTCATTTCCAATTAGAGGTACTATAACGCACCAGTATATGCCGCACATTAATCTGCTGCGCGCCCTTGACTTTCCCTCCTTTCTCCTCCGTACTAGTACCGTCTTTCCCCTTCCCTTTGCCCTTTCCCTTGTCTTTCCCCGCCGCAGCTGCCTTTCCTTTGGGTGCCATCTTGAGGGGTACTGGTACGAGATGTCTGCTTGACTCGCGTGATTGAGACGTGGGTGGTGGGTGGGGTGGTTTGCGCGAACGGATGGAGGGGCAGCAGGGGCAGCCCCACTAAAAAGTTCTTTTTGGGTGCGAGGAGCTCGTGGTTCCTACAAATACAAATCTCTGGTGTATAACTTTGTACATATGACTGTATGCAAATTTTCAATTATAAGAATTCAATTGTATATTTATATCTATTCAGTTCCCTTTTTGTACAATTTTAATTTCAAACTATAAAGGACAAGGTGCAAGTCGCGGTTTCTTTCTTTCAACGCCACCGATACTCGGAGCCAACCACGTCAAAAGATTCCCCTGTACACGTTGAATCACTTTCTCATTGTCAACAGAGCAACTCATATTTGAGCCAAACTATGGTATCTGCATTAGCTGGAGGTGCCATGGGAGCAGGAGGCTCGTTTGCGGGCAACTCGCGAGATCAGCCAGATGCTTTTCAAACACTCGTCGCTGACCTCTCGAGACTTCTTGGTCCCTCCTCAGGTATCGACTCGGCGGATGTAAATGTCGGCGAACTAAAGAAGCTTATGGAGGATTATGTTTCGTGTGAGGAAGACTGTAAGTCCAGTCCAGTCCATTCATAATTCTCGATATCTGGGATTAGCGGCGTCAAGAGACAATGTCTTGTATATAGTAATCTCCGACTCACCTGCATGTTATCATCACTATTGTATCTAACTCATCATCACCAATAGGGGCGAAATACGCATTCTCAGATCATTCCCGCGGCTACACTCGCAACCTCGTCGACAAAGGAAACGGAAAGAGCAATCTCGTAACATCCCCCTTCATTCCTCCCCTTCCGCTTCCATGTCCACATGACTGACACCATAAACAGTTAGTCCTCGTCTGGTCCCCTGGCAAAGGAAGTCCAATCCACGACCATGCCAACGCGCACTGCCTAATGAAAGTCCTCAAAGGCAGCTTAAAAGAAAGCCGCTACTCGATACCTGCGGACGCTGATCACGAGACCGCGACGGCGGGGGCACCGGTATGTTTGAGTGAGAAGGTGTATGGCGTGGGACAGGTAGCTTATATGGCTGATGAGCTTGGGGTCCATCGGATTTCTAATCCTGATGAGATGGGGGTGGCTGTTAGTTTGCATCGTAAGTTTATCTATTCATATTCATTTCCGTAGACTTTATCATCACATTTCACAGTGATATCGATACTCCTTAGGTTTGGGGAGTTGGATTGAACTGAACTAGACTAATCTCTGCATAGTCTATACACCACCCAATGCCGCGAAAGCAGGCTGCAATATTTTCAACGAGAACACGGGCGCGAAGTCCCATGTACAGCAGAATAACTTCTTCTCCGAATTCGGGGTCAAGATCTGATCGAGCGTGCTTGATGCCACTCACTTTCCAACCTTTACGGGGTACTTTTTCATCACGTACCTAGATTCCGACGAACATTTTTCTTTTGTGGATAAAATAGACACAGAGCATAGAATAGAAAGCCACACCGCACTACATTTATACATTTTACTTGCATACTAGAAGCATTTCTAGCGGCATAAACAGAGAATAGAGATTAAAAGGAACCAATAGAAAGAAAGAAAAACCCAACGGACACTCCCGCGACTAAGTCCTCGAAGTAAGTTCAGCCCTATGGCGTTGGCGTCCCCACGACCGTTTCTTTTTCTCTATTCTCCTCTTCTTTCGCAAGCTACTTCATCTCTCCCCCCCAAAAAAAATACAAATTATATCATATCAAAGTAAAGATATACACATTATATACTTTACTTGTACTTCAACGCCCGCCCTTCAATTCAGAACCTGGATATCCCTCTCAAACTTATTTGTACTTGCACAAGGTTATTTATCACCCGCAAACAATCATGTCCTCCAGAACCCTACCATCAGCTCAGAACCCAGCTGTTATAACGGAGACGGTCGGTATCTCCACATCACCTGCGAGGAGCACGCTTCGGACTTCAGAAGAAAGTACGTTGCTCCATCTCCCTTCCTATCGCTTTTTATCTCTAGTTCACCCCGAACCATACAACTTCTCATTCTGACTCCTACCAATTTTTATGCAACTTTAATTTTTATTTTAAAGTCTTAATTACTAACATACCTACCCAACAGGAAAAAACCACCCAAGTGCAATCACACCCACCAACCCCTCAACCCACAACCTTAGACCCCTCCTGTCACCCATCACCTCCTCATCCCTCACAACCCCAATCTCAGCCTCAATCCCCACACACGAAGAACGGAAGGAAGTTGAAACATGGTGTTCGAGATTCGAAGCTAAGCAAAAAGTTCGTTCATCCCCCTCCCCATCCCTACCCTTCTCCCAACTCTTCCCTCCCATCCCCCAAACGAAAACCAAAGAGGTGTCGAGCAATTGACTAACTCAAATAACTAACATAACCCAGAACGGTAAAATGATAAGCACTCGCGATACGGAATACGTAGCTATAATGCGTGAATGGCGCTCACGCCAAAAGAAAACTACTTCTACTTCCACTCCAACAGCCACTACAGTCACCGTTACTGATATTGCAACAGCGGCATCTGACGAACAGGAGGATGATGATGATAATGGAAGGGGGAGGGGAAGGGAGATGGATGTTGGTGGCGGTGAGCGAGGTGCAGGGTTTGGTGGTAAGAATGGGAGGGAGAAGAGGAAGTTAGGGAAGGGGAGGAGAGAGAGGGCTAGGGAGTGGTTTAGGGGTATTGGGTTTTAGATCACAGTACTTTGCCTCGCTTGATTCGCTGGAAGTAAAAGGGGAGTATAGGTAAAGTGCACGTGGTTTCGATACTGCAGCACGGGTTTCTCGGAATGTGCCTGCTTGCTGTATTGCTACGATCTATCTATCCATTCCTCGTCTGATAGAAAACAAAGAATGCACGCACACCATCTCGACCAAACTCATTATTTAATTTGATGAGTGAGTGGGTGAGGATCGAGATCTTATGATGATGAGGTTGAAACAAACAGCATACTTTTTTCGTAAAGTGAAAAAAAAAAACTCCACCGCAATGCAACTGTAAAAGCAAAAGCAAAAGCAAATCATGATTCATAGTCCATATGCACGTCCGTCCATAATCGAACCAAGACAAATGCGAAACCATAAACAAAGACCTTATCCCAAGTAAACCGACCCTCAACGAGCAGAAGAGTACTCAGGCGTATAGTTCTTCACTCCACCTGCCTTCATGAGCTCGCGGAGTGCCATGGTAGCGTATTGCGAGGAGCCAAGAGCGAATTTAACGACGACTGCGATTCTCGCTCGCTGTGTTTCTGCTTCCTGCGTGATTTCCTCAGCTGGTCGCTTGGACGATGGCTCAGTCTCAGCGCTGTCCAACATCTGAACATCTTGCTTTGGGGTGAATTCTTCAGCGCTGGCTCGCATGAAAGTTGGCTCCTTGGGACTAGCATTTTCCTGCTTGATGCTGAACTCCTTCTCATCGGGACGCAAGACAGATGCGGTTTTCTTGTCCGCCTCATCTCTGTGACCGCCCAGCTTCACGCCCCCGTCAGAAGTATCAGAGACGGAAGATGTTGATATCACATGCTGGGCAGCTCGTTCAGTTTGATGTGGTTTGTAACCCTCCGCTGCCGTGACATTGGATCTGACGTTGAGCTCTGGTAGGGTAGGAATCATTCCTGCTTCTTGGGGAGTGAGCTCCGTGTTATCGGAAAGCGAGTCGTCGTTAGCACCAGACGCAGAAAGATTGTTAGTAGAGCTTCGTTTATCGAGCCTTTTGAGCGCATCCTTGACCTTCTTGGCGGGGCTTCCCGGCTTGGAATCAGAAGCGCCATCGAAGGAGGGAATGCCGGCATCATGTTCCTCATCCTTGTTGGGCTTCTGATTCTGAGCAGCATGAATGGCGGTTGTCTTCTTGCCCGTCTTTTTAGTCCAATCTCCAGGAGTTGTCTCGATGAAAGTGTCTTTGATTAAAGGTTGTGGGACTGTGTTGGGATCAATGGGCTTTGCGATGAGCTTTTGCGCCTCGTATGCCTCTGCAGCAGCCTTCTCCTCAACTGCAAGCTTATCCGGTAAAGCCTTCCATGCATTGAGAGCGCTTGGGACTTGAGTGGCTTCCTCGGACTTGCCAACGTAGTTCTTTCTTCCCTGGCCTGTGGACCAGTTGTTTCCTTGGCCATTTGATGGACCTCCCCTAGAATTGTTGAACTGACCACGAGCAGCCCAGGGCTTGTTCTCCGTATTGTTGGCGTTGCTATCGCGATTGGAATTGTTCCAGCCCGCTTTCTTTGGCCTCAACTTATCCAGCTTCTCCGTATCTGTCTCAACCAATTGCTCAGTCTCGGAATGATACGCTTGGACGTGGAAGCTCAGATCCTGTCCAACCTTGGCCATCAGCGGTCGATAGCTACCACTCAGACTGAAGTCCTTGTGCTTTCTGCGCATATTGGCAGGATCGAGACCTCCACCAAGCTCACTGCCCATGAACTCCTTGTAATAGTCCCCAATATCATTTGCGGGGTATTCGATGTCAAAACCAGGGGTAGGTAGGATGATGTCGAAGATGGTGTACTTGCCACTCTTAGCCTCTTCATCAGTAAGAGGCCTAGCACGCTGATACAAATCGTCATGAGTAACAGCCGTATCGTCAGCCGCAGGACGTACAACAACCTCGCCATTCTCATCAACTTCGTCCTTGGCAGCAGAAGCAATTTGAGCTGGCGTATCAACGAACACCAAATCACCCGCAATGACCTTAGTACCATATTTTGCCCAACGAATACTCGCAGCCATGTTCCAAATATACGATTGATATGCATGAACATACATCGTACGCAGACCTCGGGTAATCTGGAGAAGCGCACCTGCAAAATCACTCTTATGGTTACCGGTAAGTGCTTGGATGAGCGACGCCTCACCGTGGAATTTCTTGGGTAAGCGTCGTAGAGCATCTTGGGATTTTCCTCCTCTCTTGAAGCTATTGATTGCAAGCGCCCGGTCAACATCATCCCTGTTAATACGGTTTAGAGGCTCCGGATGTTCCTCGGGGTACAGCCCCATGGATAAGGTCTCATCGGTATACGACAGAATGTCCCATACAGCGCCCTCAAAATCCTCCTTCAAGATCTTCATTCCAACTTGGTGGGTCCCGATGCCAAAGGTACCGAAACGCTGCAAGCCAAAGTAATTGATGAACCCGTTCCCCTGTAGGTATTTGACGGCATCCCCAACAAGAGTGCGTCCAAGTTCCAATCGTGCCTCCTCGTCCAAGCCAGCTTCATTAGGAAACTGGCAATCTCGCAGAGTAATCGTGAACTGGTTTCCACCAAGCTCACCCAACTCCAATCTATTCTTCTTGTATTCGAAGTTGCCAATGCGAGCATCTCGCAGACTAGAATTGTATTTAACCAATTCCTTTACGTGTTTTCTAAAAACACTTACTCTCTGTACCGTGACAGCCCGGCGATCCTTGGTTCCCGCGAAAGTGAACTCTTTGGGTTTCATCTTCATCATACGGGCTAAGTAGCCAAGCACTTCCATTGTATCCTTGTTCTTCTTCTCCAACGTAAAATGTAGATGCTGTCCACCGAGCTCTTCCCATCCGACTTTGCCTTGGGGTTGACCACCACGGGGTTGATTGCGTGGGTTTTGGTATCTGCCGTTCTGACTCATTGCTCCACGGGTGGCGGCGATCAAGATCTTACCTTCGTTGATCATTTCGGTCTCTAACTTCGAGTTGAAGATTCGACGAATATCACCATGAATGCGACCACGGATCTCCTTGTCGGTGATTGGCTCTGTTTGGATAGTGCCAAAAGTAGAGGCTTTTGAACTAGGTTTTGCTAAAATACTCTGGTACATCTTAAAGATCTTCTCTGTCAGATCATGGCCGAAATAACCGATAAGTAGCTGAAACTCTTCGGGCTTGATTCGGTCCTGGGTTTCGGTTGAAGTGAATGGCTCTCCGGGGGCATTTGTAGAAGGGGGTTCGGTAAGGGGTCCGGCTTCGGACTTAAAATCTGAAGATGGTTGAGGAGCAACATTCTCTTTGGAGGCTTTCGGAGCAGGCTTGGCTTCATTCTCTTCAGCTGCTGGGGGAGCGGCGCTTGCAGCCTCTGGGACAGGCTTGTTGGATTGAATCTGTGGGGCCTATGCAAGGATCAAATCAGCAAACAAAATGAGCAAAAAGGAGCCATGAGTCTGCAGTCGGTAAACTGCTCACCTTTCGTGCATCAATATTGACTTTTGGTGCTTGATCATCTGTCAAATGAATGACAGTCCCATCCAGGGCAATTTCATGGACCAAGAAGTCAGTGTATCTGGGAAGATGATCATCAGTTCATGCTTGCAATTGAAGAATACGATCAGGAGAAAGAAGGGAGAGCTCGTCGGTCGGTATCTTTCTGTCTCTCGTTCTCTCAAGACGTGCAATGGAGGGGGAGTGAACATTGTAACGTGACACAACCTGAGCCATCCTGGACCTTGCTTCTTGATCCTTTGAACCATAAACAGGCCAAAGATGAAGATACACGTAGAATTGCCCCGTAGACAGGTCTGAAGCAGAATAAAAGCTCCATCAACATACCTCTGCTTGAGCACTCCCGAGAATCCAGGATTAGAAGCATTGACGAAATGCAAAATCCCAACCTCAGCTTCCTTCCCATCAGAAGTCTCGCCGACAACATCCAGTTTACTAGATCTGTGATCCATGTTGACTTTGTTGTCGTCTGTCGTGGTTGTGCAGTTTATGTTTGGATTTGAAGAGAGCTTCTGTCGTTTGCGGGGAGGCCCATTTGCAGCCTCGCCCTCGCCCTCGCCAAACGACATTTTTAGCTCCGAGCTAGCCATTATAGCTCCTAGCAGCTGGCTGCAAAGTAACCCGGTCAGAATGCAACAAAGGCGGGCGTGGAAGTTTATTCACAAATGGCAATGCTTTTCATCAAGAAAGGCAGAATTATTTTGATATACTAGAATTGCAAAACCTCACTAAAGTCGGCATTCGGCTACTGTTTTTCCGGTATTGGCTAGCTATTAAGGGTTTACGGCAATTTTGCTGCGCCAATTGACGGGGGTCAGCCCCTCATCAGAGAGAACTTCACTTCAAATCTAAGCTTCAGCAACCACAGCCATCACCAAACCATGCCGAACATCTTACATCTTGTAGCGATCAAGATATTTCAGGACCTGTATGTGATCTGTCAGCCTTGAAGAACGCCTGAGACATTGAAATTGTGTATTGGTGCCTACCGCAATCTTCTGCTGCTCATCCGCCCTCCTCTTCCTGTCAATCTCTTCGAGCTTCTCCCTCATCGCATAGATTTGGAGATCTTCATTCTGAGCGCGGTAATCCTCCTCCAGAATCTTCTCGTACAGCTTCCAGTCATCCTGTTGAGATGGTGTTGGAGAAAACCGTTGTAGCTCAGCCATGGGCTTTTGTGAGTCTGCTCTCCTCAAGATGAGGGTCAATACATGCAAATCTCCATCAAAGTCAACGCTCCTCTTGCTGTATGTATCGATGTAATGCCTTTGATGATCAGCAGACATCACCATTTGATAGAACGCACAGCACCTACAACCCGTCGTAGCGTAGACCGACAGCCGGAGCATGGGGACTATCCAAAGTGTAGCTTCTAAGAAGCCTAATAGGCCTGCCACGTTGTGTCAACAGAGCGTATAACATATCTTTCCTTCCGCCCTCTCTTATATACTTGTAAAGACCCAGCCCGGGACCTGGCTCTTCTCTTCCAGTTGCAAGAACTAGAGCGAACTTCCCCTGTCCTGCATCTGTCCTCGTTGCAACATCATAGGGACTTATGATTATTCCGTCTCGGCAGGCACATTCCATGTTTAGCCACCAACTAAAGTCACAAGTTAGTGGTAATGAATCTCAACGCTAAATTGGGATTCTTACTCTCCCGGCTCAAATCCTACATCTCCGAACCTACGAGGGGGTCAGTCAATGAGATACGATATCAAGGAATGGAACTCTTACTGTTTTGCGTTGTTGTTTGGTTGCATCAATTTCCAGCGATACCCGCCAATCCTCTTCCCGGTGTTGAGATAGATGTCACGAAGTGCTCCATCAATTCCTAACATTTGGCGGCGCAATGTGTCGAGATTGAAATAGCTATTACCCCACCTCAACTGCCATTTAATTTGTAAAACCTCGGCCTTGGGTATAATATCGTTCGTTAAAAGTGCCTTGACTTTTCTGCTCTCCCTGCGGTCCGGGATATATCTATGTCTGAGTTTCCAGTCAATTGTTTCTTCCACCAGCTTGTCAAGACGCGTATTGATAATTGTTTCAAAACTTGTAGAGGTTTCGGACATTTCCTCGCCAGCTAACAAGAACTTCAAAAGTTTTCCAATAGCTTGGAGATTTTTGGACAGTGGCGCTTGTAACTCCAATCGAAGATGATTCACCAGTGCTAGGACATCCTGCGAATCATTCACTTCATCTCGAGTATCGTCAAAAAGAGCTAGAATATCCGATGTGTCTGACATTTCTCCCAGTGAGCTCATCGATGCACTTTGTGCCCTACTCATGAAGGGTGCGCTGTACTCTACTGGGGCTGTAAACGGTCAGCACTTTGCTTCTGGGGATCCTGCCTATCGCTTACAAAGGCTGGATGTGCTTTCCACGCTGTTGGTGCCTTTGATATCCATAGGAGCGCTTGTGCGAAGAATCTCCCACTGCGTCTGAACCAGGGAATCGATGTTGGAGCTCGTCGGATGGTGCATATGGCGAACCAGATGGGTCATCTTCAGATTGTCCCCCCATATCTGGGATAATCTGGCGCTTGGCATCTCATTGTCACCATTGCTTCCGTCAGACTTCACATTGTGCCTTAGGTCACTGAATGATTGAGTTCGACGGAGTTTCCTTCTTCTTGACATCTGAAACTCGGAATTTCTGGGATGTTTCCCGCTAGATTCGGCCTTACTTATGGGATCCTGGTGGTTGATTGGGTGCTTCGTAGAGGTAGAAAGAAGCTCAAGCCGTCTTGCTCGTTTTTTGAACCAAGGATGGTCTCTCATTTTCCCATTCGATTTGAGGAATCCTTCGACTCGGGTGACCAAAGCCAACGGATGTCGATTCCAACTGTCCTTGACCTGAGTATCACCACTGTCTGTACTGGACACCTGACCGACCAACTTGCGAGGTGTTTTGCCCCTCGATCTAACCACCTCGTCGACGACAGAGTCAAAGGTGAACGGGCTTTGGGGGCCGCTATCTTTGACTTTGCTATTGCCGTTACCTGTACTGGGGTGTGATGTTAAAGCTGTAGAGTCCTTGACCGGCATAGAAAAGGGCTGTTGCTTGTTTGGGTGCGTGATCATGTCGAAGACCCTCGCCGAGGATGATTCGGAAGCTTCGCTTTCGACAGACAGAGTGCACTCCGGCAATGTCGTGCGCACATATTCGTGACTATCAACCTTACCAGACCTGGAGTCTAAGTCTTCGTGGGGTCTCCGTGTTCGATCGACATACGTAGGTCTGGGATCTGGAAATGATGGGTTGACTTCCCTAGAAGGTAATGTTATTGCTCGTTGTGCCCTTGTCCTTGTTGCTGCCTTCTTTCCGAGACTGTCATTTCTAGGTGGGTATGCAAAATGATCAGTGCCTGAGTGTTCAGGAATCGTAGAAGTTGTTTTGTGTTCTGCAGTGCCTGTTCTGTGCCGGAATTGTGAAGGCTTCTCTGCTTCTCGTGCCTTCAGATCCTGAACCGAAGACGAGCCATCTTTGAGTGGAAGATGTGTTTGTTTACTCGTCGGTGCGTACCATGCGTATCGACTAGGCGTTGATGCCAGATCAAAATGCCACTTTATTCGATCAATTGCTTGTGGAGACTGCGCTGATGTGGTCGTTACGGTGCTCTCTGTAATCTTGGCAGATGCGATGGTCGGAACCGTGATGGTGTCCTTGAAAGGCATTGTCTCGTCGGTTGGCGTCATAGTATATCTACGTGCCCATAGATTGAGTGAGATGTGGGTAGAAACAGAAGCGTGATGTGCATATCTTCCTTTTGGGGTAGTGAGAGAAGTGTTTGCTGATGAGGACCCTTTGAAGTTTGGTGAAAGTTGAGGAAAGAGCTCTCTGCCAGCGCCTGCCTTTAAGATTCACTGGTCACCTTCCGTTGCATAACAACAACATTCTCTCCTTCAAATTGACCGTCATTGGCTTGCAAGAGTGGATTTGAAGGTTTATCTTTGTACTATTGTATTAGACACTGTCCATAGACAATCTTGGAAAGAAAAAGACCATAGCAGTAGTTGTCAATTTGGATAGAAAGAAGTCTTGGGCAAATACAAACTAATAGAGTAGAGCCTTACCGCGGGAAACATACATTTGCAAAAACCAACAGTAAATCTCAGCGCACTTTTCTAAATAGAAAACTGAAAACTTTTGTTGCACTTCGTAGAAAATGCGGTAAAATGGGAAAAAGGGAAAAAGGGAAAACATCGATTCATAACTACATATCCACCGAATCGTCGGGCCGAGTATCTGGTAGTGGGTATATATGATTTAATAAGAGATAGCACAAAATATACCCACTGTGTAATGGTATACTGGTTCAGGTTTCTTCAAGAATGAATCGCAGAGTGTAATTAACTCTGGGGTGTCCTGGCCTACTCTTTTTTTTTTTTTGCCTTTTTTATCGAGTCCTTTTATAATACTTTGCTTGCGACTCGGATTTTATGGAATTATTCTTGTGCTCATTTCCCCCACAATTCTGAATCGATTGCATTTCTGTCTCATTTATGCCAATTGCTCCAAGTCTAGGTACCATTCCATTGATACTTTATAGCGTTTGGGGGCGAAATGCCCGCTCCACTTGATTAGATGCCGTCGCTCAATTCGTTGGATTTAGGCCGAGGTATCCCTTACCGAGCTATGGAGTAGCCAGGGGCAGGTGAGGAGACCTACTCTATCACTTCATATTTTACAAAACTGCTTCTCTTTAATCCTCCTCTTAGTATATTCCGATCATTCTATCGTCATGACTTCTCAAATCGACCTCGTCGCCATCATCTCGCCCAAACCCGGCAAAACAGATAGAGTAAGCTCATCAACTACCCCGCGTACCCCTCTCTCATCACTAACACCCCCCCAGGTCGTAGAGCTGCTCCAAGAAGTAGCAGAATACATCAAGAACAACGAGCATGGGACTCTCATATACAACATTACTCGGTCTTTCAACAAGCAAGCTGGTGTAGAGGAAGTAATCATGATTGAAAGGTTCGCTGCTTTGATCTGCTTCTGGTTGAAATATATCAATCAGGTGACTGACTGACTTTACCATGTGGCAGTTATAAAGACAAAGCTGCATTGCTTGCCCATGGAAGCTCAAAAGAATTCACGGCTTTCCAGAAGAAGATACAAGAGGAGGGTTTAGTGAGCGCACCGATGCAATTGAAGATTACAAAACCGGCTGGCGGGTTTTCCAGGCTTTAAGATAGCATTTGTTTTCCTGTCATGATAATGCTCCATCCGTTTTACTCTGCCGCATGTAGCTATATAGTTGGTCCAATTGCCAATCAAAGGCGACTCAGGGCTCACTTTGGACTTTCGTGGGAAAACTTTCTTTCGTTTTCAATTCTAGCAAGCGCGTCTTCAACTGTCTGTCTTCTGTGCTTTGCTTTGCTTTGCTAGTCCAGCTTGGCTAGAAGTTTGCAGTGCAGTGAACCGGGAAGCCATTCCTTCCTTCGACATTCATCAAACGAGGAGGAAGGTGCATTCACTGCGACTATCACCAATTCTAGGGAGACCATTTCTTCATCGTCATTTACGACCCGCCACCTCGATCTTTCACACGCTTTCTTCATCCTCTCATTTACATCTAGCTCCCATCTTCAATCTTTTGTCATGTCGCTGAGCCTCTTCACAACGGTAACCGGCGAGGTCTTCACAATGGCCTCCTCCACTTCTCCATTGCCTGCACTACCCACCGACCTGCAATTGTCGAAAGAAAACTCCAACCCCGCCAAGAATGGCAACTCAAAGACCAGTTCTGTCTTTTCAATGGTTTATAACGAGTATGGCGAGCTAGTAGAACCAGAGAGTCTTCGCAGACCACCGATTGCCTCGGAGCTTACTACTACTGGAATACTCAGAGTGTTTAAGAAGGCGTACCACCATTACGTGAGTACCCCCATCAATAATGTGCCATGCGAGCACAGTGATCCTTCTCCCAGAGAAAACAGCGTTTCCTATAGCTTGATATTTCTACTGTTCTATTCTTAACTAAAGTACCCCCTTTGAAGCACTGCTAACTGACATATGGACGCCAGTTCAGGACTAAGATTGGGGATATCATATTTGAGAAGATGAAAGACAAAATCATGCCGATTGAAATGGACCGGTCGAGTTTGAATGACAGACATATATCCGCCTGGCTCTTCGATCCCTCTACACCTGCGCTCGGAGAAGACACTGTAAGGAAATCAGAGACTCCAGAACCACAAACGAAGCCAGCAGCCCCCTGCGAGCTACGAGTTCTTGAACTTGGCTGTGGAGATGGAAACTGGTGCATTCAGTTCAAGAATGAAAATTCTAGCTGGGTAGTGGATGGAATTGACGACACGAACCATTGGAAATGCGTTCACAAGGACCTTGCTTTTAGGTACGCCCAAGATGTCGTTCCACGCATGATACATCTCTGATAATTTGAGACGATAGGGATTTTATGGAAGGAGGGGGTATAGGAGAGCACAAGCAAACCAATTTGATCGATTGCAATGCCGAGTTCACCGTCCGAAACCTGAATGCTCTTCTACAGCATTCAAAGCCAATCCCTACCAATAGCTACAGCCTCGTTCGTGGAAGAGACATATTTGACAGAGTTGAAAGCCATGTTACCTTCCTTGACGCTGTTCGTTTGTAATTTCAACATATCCTCATTTCGCAAATAAGAACTAACTGTGGCGTAGAATCCTTCAACCAGGAGGCGTCGTTGAATTTCTCGAAGTAGATCCTAGACCCCGAACTCCCTACGATGGACCTACCAAGCGTGTGGAATCAGTAAATAAGAGCGGTACCGACTTGGGATGGACAGACAAGATCGTTGACCGCTTCAAAAAAGAAGTCGACCATGAAATTGCAACTAACAGCCCTGGATGGTCTGGAAGAGTCGAAGCACACTTGAAAGCTACTTTGCGTCCGCGGAACGGAGTGGTAGCAGCGAATTTGAAGGACTGGCTGGAAGGAGCAGGGTTCTACGACGTTGCTGAACATATCATACGACTTCCCATTGGAGGATCAACCACATCGGGCCAGCAGTTGAAAGAACTTCTACTTGGACAGATTGAGCTTGAAAACCGCATTCTAAAGGTAAATTTACAGCTTCTCCGGACTGCGGAGTCTGGACGCCCCTTAAAATCAATACTAACATTTTGATTTCTAGCTAAAAGCAGAACTCCCCGCCGCCGAACTCAACCACATATCAAGTGGCACTTACTATCTAAACCTCCACCTCGTTACCGGCCGCGAACCTCTTCACCCACGCAGAGGCGACCTCCTCCCTGACGGCACTAGACAAGAAATGCCGCCCTCGATCTACGACGCTATGGCGAAGGCGAAGAGCAAACGTAGGGTTAGCACTAGTCAATGGAAGAGGTGGAGTGGTTTCGATTAGAACATGAATTTTCTTTTTCCCAAGAGTATAGATAAGTTTGTGAGGGGCACTGAGGTCCGCTAAGAATTATCTGACTACGCTGTTGGATGGACTTGAGAAGTTGAGACTCATGGAAGACTTCCAATACCTACCTATAGAGACCCAACAATAAACAGCTAGAGAGGCCTACGAAGGAAGCTGGGAGCGATGACTTGACGAGGGGTAGCACTTTCTTAATTACGTACACATACCCTTCCTTCGCCTGGACGTGATTTCTTGTTTCAATTCGATCTTTATTCGCAGGCTGGCTCGCTTGACTATGCTTCAATCTCTCTATCTCTCTCTCATCCGATACACCAACCAACACCAACACCGTTGAATCAATCAAACACTTCAGTGAACCATCCATCCATCCTTTCATATCAGTTCAATTCAGTTCGCCATATCCAATCCAACCCATGCCACCCAATGCTACTCAATGCCATCAGAATTCCATTAGAATTCCAAATCCAATCCCAAAGTCCAAATCAACCCATCCGTACAATTACCCCAATCCTATTCCTAATCCTAATCCTAAAACGCCATCCACAATTAAACGGTTGTGGGGTTATGCTTTGCGCTGCTGGCTGGCTTTTTTTTTGATACGATGCTATTCGGTTCAGTTCAGTTCATCCATGCGATCGATCACTCCATCATGAACTATGCCTCTGTTTATCCATCCATTTATCTCTGCTTTCAAGAAGTGGAAGGGAGAAGAGGAAGGGCGATAAAGACATGTAGAGTAGGGTAGGGTAGAGAGGTTCAAGAGGTTTCTTCCCATCCCCAAACCGTAGCGAGGAAATGCGCCATGTTAACGCGCTTCGCGCGCATTTCTATCATCCATGGGTGCTCGAGCATGCGCCAGGGGGAGGCGCGGCGGGCGGGCTCTTTTTCGAGACTTTGGATGGGGAGTTAGTATGTGCGTGCGGTTCGGGAAGAGGGAAGATAGGAAGAAGGGGAATTAATGATGGGGAAGCACGCCTCGGTCATGCTGAGAAGGGGGGGGGGGAGCGAGGAAGAAAGGGTTACATACCAACACTCGATAAAGTACTTGAAATTCTCACTCCATTTGATCCCCGCATCCGGCTCATCCTTCAGCTTAGGAATCGGCTGCCGCACAATATACGTCAGGAGATCGATCAGTCCGGCTCTAGGCTGCTTCTCCGTCCCATCGGCTGGGAAAGGGAAGCGGTGTTGTGCGACTTCAAGCAGCGTAACGCCCGTACTCCATACGTCCGAAGTAATGGTGTAGCTCTGCCCGGTGATGCGCTCGGGCGCCATGTAATACGATGTCCCGATGAAGGTGTTTGCGTCGCCTTTGGTGCCGAACTCACCGCTGACGCCAAAGTCACAAAGCTTGACTTGGCCGTCGCGGCAGAGCAGGATGTTGCTAGGTTTGATGTCGCGGTGGATGATCTTTTTGCCGTGGAGATAGGTGAGGCCGTTTAGAACGCCCTCGGCCACCTTTCCAAGGACCTTTTCGCCAGTCCGGCCACCCAGTTTTTTAACTTCGCGGTAGATGCTGTCAAGGGAGCCGCCTTCGCAGAATTCCATGGCGATGGAGATGGTTGCTGTGCTGGGCTCAATGAAGGCGCTGTAGTAGCGGCAGATGTGTTTGCTGGCGCAGTCTTTATTGAATTTCAGTTCGCGGACGATTTGTTTCCTAACATCTGGATCGGGGTTGGTAGTGATTACCTGGAGGTAATTGTTAGTAGAAATAGGGGGAAGGGGATAGAGGACTCACTTTGAGTGCAAAGACAGTCTTCCCTCCCTTCAGCATACATCGTGTGACAGCACCTCCAGCACCCTCTCCCAAACTCCCCAGCTCTTCAATCCTCTTCTCTGAACTTGCCAGCCGCCACGCCTCATCATCGAGCTCGTCTACATCCAATGTCCTCATCTTCTCTAAGCTTTCTAAGCTCAACTTGTCAAATCCCTCAAGTCCACTTATGCTCCCTTCACGCTCCATACCAGCACCCCCTTCGCTTGCGTTTGAATATAGCGACCCAACAGCTGAAGCTGGATCTGGTGTTCCTCGTGTGGGTTGTGGTAGACCGTATTGCGACGCAAATGATAAGGCGGAGAACTGTGACCCCGCCGAAGTGGGATTACTCGCTCTGCCATCTAAGGGACCAAAACTACCAGCCCTTGAATGTGCTGCACTGCTTTCACTGCCACCACTGGCCGACTGCCCAGCGACAGGTTGCACACTCGGCCGCCCATTTTGTAGAGCCTGCTCATATGGCGTCTGGCTGCTGCCCATCGGTGTAGCTAATTGTAATCGAGGTAGTGAGGGTCTTGAGGAAGCGGCCTGGCCAGGCATTTGTAGCGACAGACCCTGTCCAGGCATTTGTAACGACAGACCGCCTGGTTGAGGCCCGCCGTTGACGGGTTTGGCATTTGGGGAGGGCGGTATGGCGAGGCCCAATCTAGGTGTTCGTGCACCAGTATTTCGGCTGCCTGGAATTGGGGGACGGAGTAGGGGGGCTGGAGAGGACATTTTGGGAGGGTAGATAGAGTCTGTGCTAGTGGAGGGCTTTGAGGTATCAGCGCTGAGATTCTTGGACCACGGTGCCTTTTAAGACAGTGGAAATGGCAGATAAAAGGGGTTTACCAGTGGCGTACTTGTTGAACTGCAAATGTAGGATTTACACCACCGGACGGAGCTCTACTTTCTGTCTCCCGCGCAGGACCGTTGCCGGTATTGTCTATTGGGAAGTTATCTTGCATTGGCACTACAGCATGCAGTCCACCGATGCTGCAGACGGCGTGAAATGCCTCTATCTTGCCGTGGTCTGGCCGAAGTATTATGTGGCAACAATACGGCTATGCCCGAGTGTATTCTTTGTATCGCAGGGTAGGAGTTGTAGAGGAGTGGTGCAGTAGTGAGTGAGTGATTTCTTTGTTGAAGTTCTTAGGAGAGGTGTGGATTCGTAACGCAAGGCTCGACTTCAGACGAGACGAAACGAGACGATACAACGCAACACAACCAAGGACCGAGTCCTACTAATGATTAATCGCTGGACAGGGCGGTTGTTTCAAGCCTGTCGTCACCAGATCGGCAGTGGAGAGAAGGGGGCCGTCGGCGGCTAGATGTTAGGAGTTGAGTGGCAGTGGCAGTGGCAGCGGCTTCGTGGCGTGGCAATAACGGAACGGCAACAATAATATCCAAGCTTTTAAAGCAGTAAGATTCCAATTGAGCAGGTACGTAGGTACGTAGGTAGGTATGGAAGGAGGAGACGCCCAAGTGTGAATGCAGTCAGTCAGTCAGTTGTTAGAGAGAAATCCAAGGTGAGGTATTAAATAAGGACCAAGATAGTCTGGACGGACCAAGTCCCCTCATATGATATGATCTCGAGTTTGTACGAACGTGTACGGTACGGGGACGGGATAGGGATCGGGTTGGCTGCAAGGGAAGGGGATGGGAGGGGGGTAAAAGGTTCTAGGGTCGTTGGTCGATGGGTGGTGGTGCCTGCAGCCAGTCAAAACAGGGCAAAAGTTGCAGGACTCGTGGCGCTGGGAACGATCCCTGCCGTTGATTCTTCGGGCGTTGGAAGGGATCAGGATGGGGGCCAACACCAACATATCGGCCAAGATGATTACTCCGTACAGTATGGGTGATGGCAGAGCTGTGGGCTGTGGGTAACTCATGTAGTGACAAGTATCGTCAAAAGAAAAGGGCCCCAGAGAAAACCACTGGCTTGGCTTAATACTCCAAGGCTGAGGTAAGATGATGGTTAGAGAGAGACATGCAATTGGATAGACACAGCATAGGCAGATGGTGGAGTTGCGAGCTGAAGCTGTGATGGCATGGGAAGCTGTTTGAGTGGTGGTAGTAGTAGTAGTAGTAGTAGTGCAGTGCATTCCAATACTTGAGTAGTGGATAGGCGGGTAGATGTATTGGATTCTCAGCCCTGAATAACATCAAGAGGTCAGATGGAAAGTTTTAGATCTGAAGATCACAGTTCTTACTGTACTTGCATTCCACCTACAGTGTAGATATGTAGGACTCGGTGGCACAAACTCCTCTTCTCCTGATGACCAGACCAGACCACTGATTAAGTGCTTACTCTTACCTACAGTACTGCCCCTTTTCACATTGATCGCTTCGCTTCTCCTACTCCAGCAGGGCAGGATCAAGAGGGTGTGAGAGCCCTTTCTCACTCCGAAGCATTTGAGACATTCAGCCCCCATATACCCACTCGTACATATCAACAGATATAGGACCAACTGATTACATTGCTCCAACATTTCCACCCAATTCATACCAGTCAGGTGCTTATGATCTCCATTCCCAGATCATGCATTGCCAGCAAACACTCTTACTGTACGGAGTAGGCAAGCTTCAAACTGCCACTATGGAGATAGTATAGTATGCAGTGGATCAATGCATGCTGCCGCATAGGGCTCTTACTCGGTAGCCACTCGAAAGGGGCCAGTATTGTGACCTCGACGTCGTCACTGCAGGCCTCGCGCCCGGAGCCGCTTTGCGCCAGAATCCGGCATATTATTGGACATTGCATGATGTTTCACATACTTTTTTCTTTAGGCGGCTTCACGGAGGGTCTCCCGAGCCGGCGATCCAATTTCTTAGCCGCCCGCGACAGCGGTAAATTTTCCAACCGCATGCACCTAACATTTCTCTCCAGCGAGCGACCGCAGAACATCCCAATATTCTAACTATGGCTGCAGCGAAGGCCCATGCAAGGCCGCAGATGGTCAAAGAGAACGGAGATGAACCGTCTAATTTTCCAGAATCAGAATCAGAATCAGACCATTCCGGGGAGAGCTCTAACGAAGGCGACTCCGGCTCCGATTCTCTCGATAGTCAATCATCAAGAAAAAGAAGAAAAATCTCTCCAGAACCTGATAATGACGAACTACAAATCCCCGTATCTTCTGTTCCTTCACGGATAAAATCGAAAGTCAAAAGCCATGCGATTGAGAAGGAAACAAATCCAGGTGCAATTCTTGCACCCATAGACCCCCAGACGAGCTTTGCATCTCTAGATGTTAAGCCATGGCTGGTGGCATCTTTGAATAATATGGCAATCAAGAGACCAACTGGGATTCAGAAGGGATGTATACCAGAAATATTGAAGGGACGCGACTGCATTGGAGGTAGTAGGACAGGTTCAGGAAAGACGGTGGCATTTGCTGTCCCAATTCTGCAGAAATGGGCAGAAGATCCGTTTGGAATTTTTGGGCTCGTATTGACACCAACGAGGTGAGGAAGCTATTTGTGAAATTCATACTTTAGCTAACATGATAGGGAACTTGCACTGCAAATCTACGAGCAGTTCAAAGCCATTTCGTCCCCTCAATCACTCAAAGCGGTCCTAATTACTGGTGGGTCAGATATGCGACCGCAAGCTACAGCCCTGGCCCAACGACCACATCTTGTCATTGCCACCCCAGGTCGGCTAGCCGATCATATACGAACCTCTGGGGAAGATACAATTTGTGGTTTGCGACGGGTGAAGATGGTGGTTCTCGATGAGGCTGATCGATTGCTGGCAAGTGGAAGTGTTGGAAGCATGTTACCGGATGTTGAAGAATGTCTCTCAATTCTTCCTTCACCAGCAAAAAGACAGACATTACTCTTTACTGCTACAATTACCCCAGAAGTTCGGGCTCTAAAAGAACTCCCACGGACGCCAGGAAAGCCTCCAGTCTTCGTGTGCGAGGTCGATACCCAAGCACTCGCAATTCCAACTTCGCTCAACCAAATGCATCTTCAAATCCCAGTCACCCACCGAGAACATTACCTTCACATGTTTCTCCTCACAGATCACAACCTCCCAAAATCTATTATAATATTCTGCAATCGCACTTCAACAGCAGACTACCTCACCCATTTACTTCGTCTTCTCGAGCACCGAGTTACCGCTTTGCACTCCAAACTCCCTCAAAGACAGAGAATCGATAATCTCGGTCGATTCCGGGCTTCAGCAGCAAGAATTCTAGTGGCCACAGACGTCGCAGCTAGAGGTCTAGATATTCCTGAAGTAGGCCTGGTAATAAACTACGACATCCCCCGCGATCCAGATGATTACATTCACCGCGTCGGACGAACAGCCAGAGCAGGGCGAAAGGGTGACGCAGTCACATTCGTGGGACAGCGAGACGTGCAGCTCGTCCAAGCAATTGAAGAACGCGTGGGAAGACAAATGGACGCCTGGGAAGAAGAAGGCGTGAATTTGGAGACGAGAGTCATTAGAGAAGCGCTGAAGTTGGTGGGAGAGAAGAAACGAGAGGCGATGTTAGAGATTGAGGAGGGCAGAGAGGTGGGTGGGAAGCGGAAAAGGGGTATGGTCAAGTTACGGGCGAACAAATAGAGTACAAATAAAGTAAGATACCGAAGACACACATACGCACCTACTGTAGTGCATCTGCCAAGCTTCCAAGCACGAGACCACCCTCATCCAGCGCTACCTACCAATTGATCCAGATTCCCCTGCAGCACCTGCCATGATTGTCCGGGGTAGTACAATCCGGGGTTGTACTGTACACCGAGCCGGATGGATGCATGCACCTCGGTTGTTTTCAAGCTTCACATTACCCCACCTGACCTCCCGAGCCTCCTTTGATTCAACCTCTACTTTGGGCATTATTTCCTAATATAGTCACTTAATCTACAAGTCCCAGAAGAAAGGAAACAAGATGTCTGAATCACCCGATAAATCTCAATCCTCTTCCTACAGTTCTCAGAAAGCAACTGTTGCAACGCTTAGCTTATCTGAGAAGCTCCAGACGATACCTATTCTTCTCACAGTTGGTACGGATTCTTTCTCTTGAAGTCTTTTTATCTCATCGTCGACTTTCACAGGAAGGATGAGAATGAATACTGATTTGGCAAACTCATAGTTGTCAATGTCATCACATCGCTTTTCACAGCCGCCTATAGAGGCAAAGACAGAAAACCCTCAGGAGGGCTATACAAATATGTAATGCTTACAGCTCTTCGAACCTTGACTCGAAAAGCAAGTGTTCGACAGCAACAGTAACCCCCCCTCACCCTGTTCCACTTCCACTTCCACTTCTACTAACAAGAACCCAGCTATATCTCCGCCCCTACAGACGACAACTACATCATAGCCTGCAAGAAACGCGGCGTCCAACCCAACAGCATCACCCTCTCAGACGGAACGCGCGCAAACTGGATCGGCGACTCCTCTGCCGAAAAACTCATCATAAATTTCCACGGTCCGTCCCAACCTCCTCCCTCCCATCCCATCTCTTCCTTCATTCCTTCAAACTAACGAAGTCCTTACTTAGGTGGCGGCTACGTATTCCCCGCAGCCCCAGAAATGTTCGAGTTCATGTTCCAAATCATTGCCGTCCTGCAAAGCCAAGGCAAAAACGTCTCCTGCCTCTTCCTCTCCTACGACCTAGCTCCAGCTCGCGTCTACCCGCGGCAGCTCCAACAAGCCGCCATGCTGATGAACCACGTCCTGCATACGCTGCACATCTCCCCTGCCAACATAATCCTGACAGGGGATTCCGCGGGCGGGAATCTAGCTTTGGGACTACTATCGCATATCTCGCATCCGCACCCTGGTCTGCACGGCGTCGAGGTGCCGAAGGTAGAATTAAACCTAGGAGCTGAAAGTGGAAGTGGAAGTGGCGGTGCAAATGAGAAATTAATCGGAATCGTGTTAATCAGTCCCTGGGTATCCTTTAACCTCACGAGTGCCAGTTGGAACCGCAATAAATACAAAGATTGCCTCGACAAAGTCGCCGGTCAGCAATGGTCTTCGGCCTTCCTGAACCACCCGCAGCCTCTCGATGCCGTCAGCGATTACTACAACCAGGCCGTCACGGCGCCCGAGAGCTGGTGGGAGGGCGCGGAGGTAGAGAGCGTGTTTATTGTGGCGGGTAGGGAGGAGGTGCTTGTTGATGGCATTACGGAATTTGCGGGGAAGTTTGAAAGGGGGGTAGGTGGGGCGGGGAATGTGGAGTTTAGGGCTTTGGATGGCTTTCATGTGCAGGTACGTACAGTATCAAATTCTACCTTCTCAAAGCCTCTATTTGTTGGCGACACGCTTTTGGTTATCCGCAATGCCGACTAACTCTTCGACAGCCGGCTCTTGATTTACAGATGGGGTATACGGAGGCTCAGGAGGGGGAGCAGGCCACGACCATTAAAAGCTGGATTGCGAGTCACTTTTGAGATAATGAGATGGATGAATGGTATCCGTTATGCACTGCAGTGGCATATTAAACGTCTCTATAAATGTCACGGAAGGTAATCTCTTATTAATATGAAGACGGCATCCACTCTCCCGTCTCCTTTCTCGAAATGTAATTTTGCAAAGACGCTTAATGCTGGATGCCTCAGCTGGAATCTTTAGCTTATTCAGATATAAGATAGATTGCTACTTTTAAGGCGTCTACGAATTATGACGTTGGTCAGTCTACTGCAGCTCGGCGCAAAGGCTGTATACCTCCACATCATCATCCGTTCCTCTAGGCACATCTTCCAATTCCCGAGCCGGACTTGAATGGCTTCTCGTCTCGGCATACGCTTACATCCGATACCGGAATCCCGATGTGTTGAAATCTGTCACGTCCTCGTAGTCAATCTCAGTTAACTGAGTCTTCCCCGGAATAGCTGGTTCCAGTGCTGCCGCCGCCTCTTCAGTTTTGTCTCGGGATTTATTGACGAAGGTCAAGTAGACGCGTAGAGCGATGGAAACAAGCATGACGAGTCCGTAGCAGATTAATATCGCTTTGAAAGCAGTTGGGTATCCACTGTATGAAAGTTAGATAAGACAGCTTGGCGTGGACATGAATCAAAAGCGAATACTAACCGACTTTTTTCGGATGACTTGAAGGTTTGTGGCCCGGCAATATTGCCAGCACAGTAAGTAACGAACAGGATGGCAGTGACAGTCATCTTCTTAGTGACGCCCTTGTAGTTGGCTGAGATGAGACCAAGGACGAGCGGAAGCGCACCTGGGCCTGTTTGTAGGAGGTAGTATGCGAAGAGACGCAAGCCTTTGGTCTTCTCGGAGAAGATGATAGCGCTACCTACGACTGGGGGAATAACAACTGCGATGATGAGAAAGGTGGTGATGTTACGGAAACGACTCGCGAGCCAGCCTGTGGACATGATGGTGGTCATCGAGATGACGGACGCGGGGAGACTGACAAGAGTCGACTGGAGACTTGTAAACCCAAAGCTCTTCAAAGCTAAATTTCCGAAGCTTCCAGTGCCTCCGTTTGGGATCTATGGAAGTAAGTCAGTAAGTAGTAGATCTGTTGTCTGTATTTGATTCTAGGGGAATGTACGTACCTGGGTTAAGACAGACATGGCAATGAAAAAGTACGTCTTCGGGTCCATGAGGCACTCAAAGACCTGTTCCACTTTCCATTGGCTGTTAATCGGATCAGTCCGTCCAAGTCCAGCAGTCACAACGCGATCCTCCGCATACTGCTTTTCCTCCTCGGTAAGGAAGTCCGCATCATTGATGGTATCAGGGAGGCCGAAAAACATTACCACGCTCCAGAGACTTGTGGCTACTCCAAAGATCTGAGAAATTTAACACATGTCAAAAAGTCTAAAGGACATTTTAAGACTTACTATAAACATCCACTGCCATGGATGTAATGGATGATCAATTTGTCCGATCCCGTAGGCCAAGAGGGACGCAATGAAGCCACCGCAGCTGTTGCCTGCGAACCATACGCCAGTGCGTATCGGAATTTCATCTCGAGTGCTGTACGAGAACGGGAATTAGCTTTAATGCTTCAGGAAGCGAATAGCAACGAATCAGGAATGCTAAGACATGTCTCAAGAGCAGACAGAATAGAAAGTGAGTGAGATCCAGATAACATACTACCACATACTAGTGACATAGACAAATGCAGGTGATATGGTTGCTTCCTGAAGCTCAATATCAGCACGTTGCATCTTTAAAAATGGGTATTGGAGTCATACTGCCACGCCAAGCAGGAACCGACAAGTAGCCAGCCCTCCGAAGTTCGAACATGCAGCTGTGGAAGCAACAATAATACCCCAAAGCAAGGTGACTCCCGAGATGTACTTTCCGATTGGAAGTCGCTGGATCAGGATAGTGGTAGGATATTCGAAGAATAGGTAACCAAAGTAGAATACTGAGCTCACCCAGGAATATTGTGTTCCATGCAGGTGATTGTCTTCGGTGAGACCGAATACGGCGGCGGATGATAGAATGGTTTTGTCCATAAAATTCAGGTTGTAGGTAACAAACATGATAACCAAGATGCGGAGATCGATCTTGCGAATAACTCGCTTGGCTAATGCGTTCGTGTAGGGGCTGACATCTTGAACCTCCTCGTCCGCTGCAGTGGCTAAGTGGCCTGCCATTAAATATTTAGTTGAGACAAGGAACCTGCTAAGACTCAACTTCTTTTTCTGTCAAGGAAGAAGAACAAGAACAAGAACAAGAAGAAGAAGAAGAGTCTCTGGTTTGTATTTATTCATTTCTTGACGGCCGAAAGATAAGAAATTCATGGACTCAGAAGGTGGGGGAGGTTGATAACCGGAGCCTCCCGTCCAGGCGTCCTTGTGTGAATCTGCGACCAAGAGTGGAGTGGCGTGGTGGCCTTTGCTGCAGGAAAACACGACTTGAATCAAATTTCGAATTTAGAATCAACACTGCTGAGCTTGAGGGATGAATAGACAGACAAATAAATAAATGCTCATTAAAGGCAAGTCTACTACTATAGTTGAGCGGTTGTAAATATCGCGCTTTTGGCGTAAGATCAGGAAAGGGCAGCTATTCACCGCTAATGTTTATTGCGAAGAGAAAGACATCTCAAACTCATTAAGGTCATCCAGAAGCTCCTTCTTCAATTCATCGCCAGCCCAGCATATAGAAACGGCATTTCTCTGGAGCTGCACCATGTCTTTGTTCTTGAAGCTGCACTTTTCGCGAACCATGTGTAGGTTATGAAGAACCCAATTGTCCTCCATATATGCAGGATCGTCCGAAGCAATTGCAATCTTGATACCCGTGTCAAATAACTTGCGAATGCGAGGGAAGACTGCTTCTTCCGAAGCGTGGCGAATATATGCGCAAGGACATATTGTCATTCCCATGTCCTTTGATTTGACAACTTCCATGAGATCTTCTTGGTCTGCTACGTTCATTCCATGATCAATCCGCTCTGCCCCAGTACCGCCAAGTCTCTCAGCCACTTGGCGGATGTGATCATGAGTATCTTTTTGGTTGAAATCACAATGACTCGTGAGCCTGAATCCATCTTCTCGAGCGCGCTTGAACAGGTCGTCAAATAGTGACGGCGGTCGTTCATATTCGTCCGAATCGAGGCCAAGACCTACTATCATGTCCTTGTAAGGCAAAGCAGCTTCATACTGATCCATAGCTGACTCCGGAGACATATCGCGTAGCATGCACATGATCCATTGAGATCTGACCTGTAATGTATTAGACTCTTGAAATTGAAAGGCTTTGTACTTACATTCAACCGATGTTCAGCCGCAATCTGTGCTCTCTTGAAACCTTCCAAGACCATGCCAATCGGTATCCCTCGTCTAGTGTGTCCTTGGGGGTCGAAGAAGGGCTCGCAATAACGGACGTTCATCTCGGCAACACGTTCAAAATAACCCATCGCGAGGTCAAAATAATCCTCTTCGGTTTGCAAGAGGTCGAAGCCACCATAATATGCCTCAAAGAATGTCATGTTTCTTTTGCCATCTGCAGAAGTTGCCCCAATCCTGCCTCGAATGTTCTGGTATGCCTCTCGAATTTCGGCAAGAGTAGAGAGAGGCACCCTCTCAGATCCAACAGTCAGAGGGATCTTATTTCGTTGAGCAAGCTTCCACCGTAGCTCCGGCGTCATAGTTCCTTCGATATGAACATGAAGCTCAATCTTAGGGATATCTGTCACAAATTTATCATTCGACCGGATATGCCGTTCCTTCCATTCTTGACGCTGCTCGCGAGTTGACACTGCTTCGGCCGACATGCTTAACCAAACGGCCAATGAATAGATTATAGAGCCACAAAAAGTAACATATTGATAGAGATATTGGAAAGGAGGTGAAAGGTCTACTTGAAACTAACAACAACCCGAATAATGAAGGAAAGACTCCCAAGACTTTGAAAGAGTGGGATGCACTAGTACGGCGAGTAACGACGGGACGGGCGAAAATATCCGACTTGACACCTATTTTGTTGAAGTGTAACGCAGATATGAATATGGTACGTAAACATTGTTAAGATTGTTCTGTCTTCTTTTCCTTGGGAGTTGAGAGAATGCCAAAGGGTCTCACGTGAAGTCGTGAATCTGAGCTATTCCCAAAATAATTTATGCCGAGCGGTGAACGTCCCCTATATTTACTCCACCCCACCACAATGCCTATTGTCCATTGAAAACCCCCCTTAATCTTGAATTCAGACTTCAAGGGGCCCTGTAGATATTCTTTCAATCCATTACCTCCATAAATCTATTTATAGCAGCTTGATAGAGACTTCAAACTGTCAATGAGCTCCGACGTCACAGGGAAATCTTCGATAGCACTTCTAAACTATCACGGCATCCTCTCCATCAGTATAGTTCTTCTGCAGGCTCTGGAGGCAGGCGTAGCGGACCTCCCCGTAGTGAAGAAACGCATGTCGCAAGAATTCTCCAAACACAACAAAATGGAATTCGGACTACACGACAAAGTCTTCGCGCCAGCTTTCGGCTCCGCTGATGCCATGACCCAAGACATTCAAGGCAAGCGTCTAGATACCCCGGTCCTGCGCCGTATGAGTGAGGTGTTCCAAAAATTGTGGGACGAACTCGAGCCAGACTTGCTACCCGTATTCCTGTTGAACGACGTGCCCGACAAGCAACTTGTGAAGAAAGGAGCGCCGAGGAAATTAGGCGACAGTCTGAATAGCAAGCGCATTCTGGAGGAGAACCTGGCGGGGGTCAAGGATATTGATCTTGATACTTATGCGATGTTGGTCGAGAATATGCCCGTGGGAGACTGTGCCAATTGCCCTGATTTTCAGAAAGGTGTTAAGTTAGTAGGAGATCTGATGGAGCAGTTAGAGAAAGCATTAAAAGCAGCGGAAAGCGAGGGGAGAGCCTTTGATACCTAAGAGGAAATAATTCATGGCTAGAATCTTGAATATGATGTGGTGGTGAATCTTGGAGTCTGGTGGAGAAGGTAGATATAGAGGAAGAAGAGTCGACTATTTAGTAAGTAATTAGAAGATATATATCATTCATATAACAATCTAAAGTCTGTCGCATTATTCTACAACCCCTTTCTTCCTTTGATACAACCCTAAAATCCCATCATTCCCAACAGAAGCTGCAATATCTAGTGCCGTCCTGCCCTCCCCATCCTCCTGCAACGGATCGCATCCCAGCTGCACCAGCCTCTGGAAAGCCTCGATGTCGCGATCCCCCTCGTCCAGATGATAATTCCACCGAAAGGGTCTTGGTCTGCGAGCTACCATATGCAAGGCGGTCGTACCATCATTCGCCACAGCCCGGACATCCGCCCCGTTGTCAAGGAAGAAGGATGGTTCACTGATGCTGTACCCTGCGTTGATGTGCGCGAGAAGGGGCGTTTGTCCCAGCTTATTGCGCGAATTGATATCGACGCCTAAGGCGAGGGCGTGTCTCATGAGGGAGAGGCGTTCTTCAAGGACTTCATTGTTAGGAGAGTATAAAGAAGGAAATGTCCGGCCGAGGTGATGAAGAACAGTGTCACCATTGGGGTCGGGATCTAGGAGGTCTGCATTCCCCTCGTTGATAAATTTCAAACAGAGTCTTATCTTGCCACTTTGAAGGGCGAGGTGTAAAGGCGAGAACCCCTCATTGTTCTTTTGCCGAATCAACTCTTTGACACCGGGAATAGGTAGGAATCGGTCGAGGACTTTGTTGTTCTCTTTCCCTAGGAGATAAAATATAAGATGGCGTCCTTTGTTATCAGTCGCCAAGTAATCTATAGTAGATCTGTAACGCTGAGAGTCTGCAAGCAGCATATACGCTGGTATGTATTCGGCTTTGAGGCGTTCTTTTTCATCTGCAGGAAGGAAACCTTTAAAGCTAGCCTCTGAATCGACGGTAGAAGCGCAGGCCGCCATGAAAACGGTCCTGCCTTGTGAATCCCTCATATTCAAATCGAGATCGGGCTTTTCGAGGAAGGGCCGCAGTACAGATGATATTGCACGTTGAAACACCCAATGGAGCAGAAGTTCATTATCATTAACGGGGACATCAACCTTTGCACCGTAATCCAAAAGTAACTTTACCATCTCTTTAGCTGTGGACGAACTCCATGATCCAATTGATGGTTGCAAAGCAGCAATCGTGAGTGGATATCGATTTTGCATGCCTTGAGAACGCCTAAAGTTGGAATTCCGTAATGCTAATGACGTATCTAGACCGTTGCAGTCTGCTCCGTGCTCGAGGTAGATCTTAAGTATTTGGACGTTTCCGCATTCAATTGCCGATGTGAGCACACCTTTTCTTCCAGCGCTTACATCGGCTCCGTACTTGAGAAGAATTCTGATTATGTCTCCATCAGGCCCAGCTTTGTTCAATGGAGTTAATCCTTCACCGTCAATTGTGTTCGGATCTGCGCCCAATCTCAAGAGCATTTCAGCACATTGTGGTTTGAAGAGGCCTTTGCGAGTAGCGGAACAATACATTGTGTGGCTACTTGCGACCTGGAGTGGAGTCTGGCCGTTTGCGTCTAGTACATCCATTCGAGCTCCTGAGATAATAAGGTTAGTATAAATCTCCCTTTGAAAAATCAAGGTTTGAAGGACAGAAGCCAGTAGTACAAGAGCTATCCTCATTACTCATGGGCCTCCTATGTTAAGCAGGCTTCAACATGACCTCTCAATCTTGTCTTAAAATGATGTGTTTTCTCGGGGTTCAGAACCCGTTTGACAATATAAAACGTTAAGTGATACAAGCTACAATGCCTCACAAAATCCGAGAATTTCACCATAGAAGTTGGAGAGGTGCCCAAGAGCAAAAGGCGGAACTCTTACCCTTATTGATCAAAAACTCAATCGCATCAACTTGCCACCAGAAATCGCCTTTGGCGAGTACGTGGAGTGCGGTCGGCCCCAGAACGATGGCCTCTGCTTCTCCAGGTTTCTTCGCTTTTTTGACAAGCCGGTGGGCATTCACATCGACAAGACCTCCTGTTAGAAGGAGCTTCACCATGTCCATGTTCCACGCAGACCGGTCGCAAGCCACTTGTAGAAGTGGACCTATTATCCTATATCCGTTGTGGACTTTCTCGGCCAAATTTTGGGCAAATGTTGGGTCATCCAGGAGCTTGGCTTTTGTAATAATTTTAGCCATAAGGTCCGTCCTTCCAAGTCTTGCGATTCTGGAAATAGCTGTACCATCATCATCATGGCGGTATTCCTGCATGAAATCTACATGCTTCGAGAGCAAATCCTCCATTGCGGCTTCATCCATATCCTCAATGGATGCAATCGGCTGTTTGGCAGGAATATAACCGTCATCAATTACCGCAGTAGGATTCGGGACTTGTACCATCAATGATGTCTCCGCAGAACGGGTTTTCTGGAGGGGGCTTTCATTTCCTTGTTGTCGAATGGCGGCCACCAGCTCCGTATTTTTGCATGATAGGGCGAAAGACAGCGCACCATTAATGTCTGCCTGAGCTTTTATTAGCATTTTAACAATGACATCAACTCGGGCAACATGATCGTGCAGACTTCTTCTCCCCATAAAGGACCGCGGCTCAAAGGTCGGCAAACGTCTAAATGGGTCTTGGATACTACAGCTTGAGGTAAGCTTTTGTACTGTGCTCTGCTTTCTCATCAAGAACCAAATCTTCTCCTCCTCAGTGGATTCTGCGCATGCCATTAGAGGAGTAACTCCATCCTTAGATTTGAGATTAATGTCTGCTCCTGCGCTGATCAATATGCTGACAGATTCTGGTAGACCTGAGCGACACGCATCATGAAGAGGTGTTCGTCCCTCAATATCAACAGCACTGACATCGATTGAGTTATCAGATTTCTTGCCCAATAGGACGAGCATTGCGATGATGCTACTTTGGCATCCGCGAGCTGCACAATGAAGAGGTGTTCGGAGGCCGAAAGACTTCGCATTCAGATTGGCATCATTACGAATCAAGTGGAATGCTGCCATTTCGGAAGCAGCAGACGCAAAATGCAATGGTGTATAGCCGTCTATGTCTTGCGCGTTTATATCAACGGTAGGATCGAGGTGAAGAAGCACGGAGACGAAGCTTTCTCGAGTAGGAGTAGTCCTAGATATATTGTCCTCGGCATAGACAGGACTGATAATGTGTGCCGCTGTCTGTCGTTGACTATTCCTCGCGTGTGGTGAAACACCTATTTTGATTAGATATTCCACCAGCGTGATTTCTTCTGGGAACGCTTCAAAGCGCTTTGCGACTTCGTGCAGGAGGGTATTGCCATCGTTATCAGTCAGCATGGGATCTGCTCCTTTACTGACAAGCAACTTGACCAATTCGACAGGAGTTTTTGTTTGACAGGCTAAATGAAGCACTGTCTTCCCTTTCAAGAATGTTCGTGCTCCTAGCGATGGGGTTTTAGGGTGTTGCAAAAGCACATCAACCAAAGCTCGATTGCTTTGGGCTACCGCATGAAGTAAAACCGTCATTCCATCGTGGTCGTTAATCTCCAAGTTGGCACCACTGTCGATGAGTAGACGTACTTGGTCGGAATCTTTCTCCCCATTGACGCGAGACGACGAGATTTTAAATTCATGCATAGGAGTTTGACCCAGGCTATTTTGAACATCAACATTGGCCCCGAGGCGTAGTAGTGCACTCAAAATTTGCTGCTTCACCATCGAATGACCTTTACACGCACTTTGAAGTGGTGTATTGCCGCTAAAGTCCCGGGCATTTATATCTGCTCCGTGATCGATGAGTAATTGTATGTGGTCAACTGGAGAATGTATATTTTCAACGGCACTGGGGGGGGCAAAAAGTTAGCCAATCTTCAAAATGGGAGGCTTTTGGATGGGAATCTCGGGAAAGGGCTGTAAAAATTAAGCATTAAACGTACAGATGGAGTGGAGTGACACCATCGGAAGATCGTGCCTGTCCTGGAGAAGCCTTGTGGCTAAGGAGTTGACTCGCAACCTCAGTATTAGCCATACTTTTGCATGCTCGATGAAGTAATGTTTCCCCGTTTGAATCAGTAGCAGAAGGATCAGCACCCAGAGCAAGTAACGGCTCCAAAGCTACAGGTGCTTTCCAACGGTGGCCGACAGTGAGGAGGAGCGGGGTATTTCCCCCACTGTCGTTTGCTTCCAAATCAGCTCCAGCTGACAGAAGCATCTCCAGGATATGTCTCATATTTGAGACCTTTTTGGTATCTCCTATGTTTGCTTGGACAAGACTGTGAATCGCAGTCCTCCCATGTGGTTGGGAGTTCCAGAAAAACTTCTTCCGAAAAGATCTTGGATTTTTCACCTCTTCTGACGGTTCTTCTTGCTTTACCCTTGCTCCTTTCTCTAATAAAAGTTTAACACACTCAGGCTCCAGTGATTGCGCTGCAAGGGACAGCGCAGGCTCGGGCCCAGTACTGCTGTTCATGCTCGACGGTTTGACTGTTGAGGTTGCATTGGGAGAAATTTCCGACGTTTCCAAAAGTGTGGACATTAATGGAAAGTGACCGCCCGCCGCGGCTCGACAGAGGGCATTCTCAAGGTCCTCCTTCTTTGCATACGGAATCATCTGCAGAACACTTTCAACGTGCCCACTTTGACTGGCATACATGAGCGGGGTTTCCCCAACATGAGATGGTGCATTTCCACAGTGCCGACCAATGTCTTTGGTTTTTCCAGTTGTTGGTGATACGCCTGTGACGACAAATGTTAGCAAGCTTCTGCAGATGGAAGCGCCGTACTAAAGGAGTTTGACTTACCAGCAGCAAGAAGTAATTTCACGACTTGTGCATGATTTCTCGACGCGGCAACATGAAGAGGCTTCAAACCATCGTAGCCATCCACATCAGGCTTTGCTCCGGCTTCTAGTAACAAACGCACAACCTCGCTATGACAGCCTTTGGCAGCCCAAAATAGTGGAGTGTTCTCACTACTATCTGATGCATTAGCATCCGCGCCACTCAGTATCAAATGCTGTGCCCATGAGGACAGCCCAAAGCCTGCAGCAATGTGGAGCCGGCTTGAATTCTTTCTGGCAACTGCAAAGTTCGTTTCGCCAGCCATCAATTCAAGCCACGCTCTGAAATGTGAGCTGCGCGGATCACAGAAAGTCTCCAAGCTATTGAAGAATGACTTGTCCTCCACATCATAATTCTTTGCGTGGTATGGCCATTTCTTTGCAGCATATTCCGCGAATGCGTGTCGCAGAAAAGCGCTTTGGAAGTCGAACTTCGTCACCTGCTGGTGACGATTCCAGGGAGCACCTTCCCCGGATTTTAGATCATCTTCTTCTGGATACGCTTTGAAGGTATCCCTTTGAAGGCGGGCCAAGCAAGCAAGAGCGATGTTACGATGCGCTGCTGCAGGCCCAATCACGGGAAACTGAAGCGTGCCGGGTGTCGAGCGCTGAATTCGACTTCTATCAAGAAGGAACTCCGTGAAGGAGTGATGCAATATTTGAACCACCTCATCTTCCATGATATCTAACAAGGGCCCGCAAGCGCTTCGGACAATTTCTTTGCTATCTCTGTCGGTAGCTGCAATATGATAGTTTGTTTCAATGGCTTTTGCTATCTCAATCAGACGCATAGGTCGTGCCGAATGGGTGACTAGCTGCAAAATTAAAATTTGAATATTCTGGTCGACTTGTGTACATAGCGCATGGTCATTGAGAATTCGGTTATACATCTCTTCGAGACCAACGGGTAGTTTAGCAACAACTTCAAGTATTGTGTCTTCGCCATCTTCTTTTTCTTTGATTGCATTCGCAATCTGATCAAGCATCAGACGAGCGTAGAGGAAAAGACCGTCAGATCGCTTGCAGACGGTGTCCCCGATGATTTCTCGAGTTTTTGGACTGATGCCATCCCGAGAAAAGTCTGCTGTGCGTTGACGGACAAAAAGGGATATATCTCGTGTGACGAGTTCCTCTTCTAGACTGACATGGATGACTTGAGGATCCTTCAATAATCGCTGGAGATATTGTTTTGGTCTGCTCGTCATTAATATTTTGACCTTAGCAGGCCTAAAGGAGCCAAGAGTGTTCAAACGGGAGAGAAAGTCTTCATCGATGCTCATTTCATCCAGTGCATCAACCACACAGTAAGCCTTCTCCACCGAGCGCAAGCCTGCCAAGAGATAATTCCACAATTGACTTGTTGACAAGCTTTCCAGATCCTCCTCCTCCTTTACAAGCTCCCAGAGGGACACTTGCAAGAGTTCACTAAATGGGAGAAGCTGGGCGAGCCAATCTCGAAGTAGAGAGCTGGAGGAGCGATTTGTTTCGATAATCTGTCGGAAAAAGAAATACATGACTGGCACAGATTTATTTCGGGAAAGCGAATCGACCATCGAAGCGGCGACAACACTTTTACCAGCACCAGGGACAGCTTTGATCCAGATAGATCCATGGTTTGTGGATGAATCCCAAAGACTGAACTGGGGGGTTTCTCTGATCCATTCGCCGGTCTCCGGGGCTCTAGATGAGAGATGACGGTGGAACTCGCTCGAGAAGGCGGCATAATCTGTAGGGCTCAGCCATGCTTTTATCTTGGTAAGATCTGGCTGTTCCTCAGCAGCGATTTGTTTTGCAACGTCCAGAGAATCGACGAGCTCGAAATCGGAATCATCAGAGGGGAGATCTAAATCCATGCTTAATGAGCTGGTTCACACAACTCAGAGTAGTTTTAAAGAAATACAAAGAAAGCAGAGATCAGGATGGGACGATAAATCCCAAACTACACCCTATGGTGGTTGATTGATATTTGAGGTGGCGCAGACGCGTCTGCCTGATGTTCAGTACGTACAGTGAAGTGAGGTGAGTCCCACGGGACCAGCCTACTCGCTTACTGTATCTTCCGTAGCAACATTTCTCAGAGCTTCTATCAGAAACAATTGCCCTCTGTGGTAGCCACCTATCTATCTATATGCAGAGTTGTGGAAAGGAAATTGGGGATGGTGAGGGGGATGGAGAGGGATATGGGAAGGCATACCTACTTATGGAGAGGGATGGGGATGGGGATGCCGGCGCGGCGAGTGGATCCAGGGCCAGGACTTTTTTTTGCGTAGCGTGAAATACAATCACCAAAACACCGCTCCTTTACCCAACATCGATGAAGTTTTACCAGTCAGCAATTGCTGTCAGAAGGCAACGATATCCGTGCCTGGTCCTTAACCAGCGGAGAAGCGCGTCTACGAATCTACAATCTCCTATACCCTCACCAACGCGAGCACTCATACAAAATGGCTCGACGCGTCAAAGCACGACTTCGACGCCCTCGAGGCCATTCATAGCCTCTCTAAACGGGTCAATTGGACTTAAGACGCGATCTTTCTCAGCCACGTTACGCAACCGCAACTCAACAGACGTCCATAAGAAAGCCGTCGAGGCGATTTCCAGCACAGTGCGCCAATACTTTGCAAAAGGGGAGAAATTCCGAATATATCATGGTTCCACGAATAGCACAAGGCAGTCAACACTGAAACGGAATCTGGTGGATACAAGCAGCTTGTCAAATGTCTTGAAAGTAGACGTCGAGGCAAAGACATGTCTCGTGGAGCCGAACGTTCCAATGGACCGGCTAGTTGAAGCGACGTTAAAACATGGCCTTGTACCACCAGTCGTTATGGAATTCCCGGGGATAACCGTGGGAGGGGGGTATTCAGGGACATCAGGGGAAAGCAGTTCTTTTAAGCATGGGTTTTTCGACCGAACGATCAACAATGTGGAAATGGTACTTGCGAACGGTGAGGTGGTGACAACCTCGCCTACGGAGAAACCAGATCTATTTCACGGCGCAGCGGGAGCTGTAGGAACATTCGGGGTTACGACGCTGGTTGAGCTACGGCTTCAAAAAGCTGCAAAATATGTCGAGACAACATATCATCCAGTGTACTCCATGTCTGAGGCGATACAAAAGTTGCAAGAATTTACTGCAAATTCAGAGCTTGATTACGTTGATGGCATTATGTTTTCCAAAACAAATGGTGCGATAGTCACAGGTCGGCTGACGGATGAGAAGAAAGACGGGCTCTCTGTTCAGCGGTTCGGCGCAGCCCACGACCCCTGGTTTTACATGCATGTTCAAGATGCAATCAAAAAGAATTGTACTGGGCCGACTACGGAAGCAGTACCCTTAGCTGAGTATCTCTTTCGCTATGATAGGGGTGGCTTCTGGGTTGGAAATTCCGCATTCGAGTATCTCAGGTTCCCCTTCAACCGCTTCACCCGCTGGTTCCTGGACGACTTTCTACACACAAGAATGCTCTACTCAGCTCTTCATGCTAGTGGAGAGTCAAAGAAATATGTGGTTCAAGATCTAGCTCTCCCATATTCTACTGCGGAGCAATTCGTTGAATATACAGATGAAACCTTTGGCATTTATCCCTTGTGGCTTTGTCCCCTGAAGCAAAGTCCGTACCCCACCATGCACCCACATTACAACAAGACAGAAGCCGATGGCAAGACACTACAGCCTATGCTTAATATCGGACTCTGGGGCTTCGGGCCAAGTAATCATGAAGAGTTTGTAAGAAAGAATCGAGATCTGGAGCGGAAGCTGAAGGAGCTTGGCGGGATGAAGTGGCTTTATGCACATACATACTACACTGAAGAAGAATTCTGGGAGCAATTCGACCGGCCCTGGTATGAGAAGCTGCGAGTTAAGTACAACGCAACGTCCTTGCCGAGTGTGTACGAGAAAGTCAAGGTAGACGTTGAGGCCGAGAAGAAAGCCGAGAAGGAAAATGGATGGTTCTACCACACGAAATGGCCGTTCAATGGCTTCTATGGCATCAAGAAGGCCATCGAAAGTCGCACCTACCTTGCTGCTAGGAAATCTGTCTGGAAATCTTTTGGAAAAGAGGCGAATTGAGTGGTGCTGATACCATGGTGTTTTGAATAGAATAGAATGTACCAAAGCTGTTTTATATTTAGACGGGGAGATATAGACGATAGATTTAGAAATGTGTTTTATGTATACTAGATCATCTGGGCTCAAGATGACTGATACCTCTTTAATGCTCCACATTTCCTTACATACCTCTAATCATTCCCAAGCTTCTTGGTCTACGATTTTGCTATTATGTTATAGTAAATACCAGGCTTTGCCTTTTGAGTTTTAGCAATTTCATTTAGAGTCTTAGACACATCTATCTCGCTGCTCTATAGCTAGTAACTGCAAGTTGCAGCAACCGATAACAAATAGGTTTCATTCTGCTTCATACAGCCTAATAGTCCAATATTCCTTCCAGGGACCAGAAGCGGAAAATAAAAGTGTGAAAGAAACAATATGGATTCTTATATATAATTTCCGTGAGAACTGCAAGTTGGGTTTAAAGGAGAGTAGGAGTCGATTCCGACATTGGCGTAACTTTTAGTACCACTGGTTCACCTGGAACCCGGGAGACACAGCCTTAAGGGTAGTAAAAGTAGCAAATGAATCTCTTGCTTATTCATTCCTCTGCCAAAGAAGAGCCAGCTTTGCATCTAAAAGTATATGACTACCTTTGCCTGCAACTTCAAGAGTTTAAGCGAAAGTGTCGCCGACGAGAGACTGCTTTAGTAATTGTGCTTGAAGAGTATCTCACTGCTCGTCGCTTATGCGGTAAGCACTAATCAGCGTAGGAAACTTCACCTCCTTAAAACACCTAGGCTGTTAGCAAAATGGTGATAGAGAACATTAGTGGATACTTTGCTGACAAGATCTTTCACGGTCACTTAAAACCCCTAAAACCCGTTCATTTCTATATTCTCTTTCGCCTCTAACCTTCTCCAGAAATATAGGGAGGTTATATAAAGCAAAATAACAGACTACGTTTCTGTTTAGAGCAGCGTATTATCTGCTCTGCAGATAATACTGACCTGTCGCATATGTTCTCTGTATGCCATGAAGAATGAACCAAGTTGAGGACATGGAACATATATATAGATCATTAATTTAGAAACTAAGAGCTAGGAAAAAGTGCTGAAAAAGGAAAGGATAACTCCGATGAAATATATAGCAAGTATCTCCGACCCGCAAACTCACATGTAGTGAAATGCAATCCATTTATATACACCCAGATCAAGCCCACATATGCAATTTGACTACAAGCTCAAGCATACCTCTATGCGCACCAACATCTCTTTTCCTTCCACCAAGAAGACGTCAGGAGAAGCAATTATGCTGCCCATTAATACACCTCTACACACTTCATGTACTCCACATTTTCAACCTCTCCCCCTTCTCGTCCACTTTCATCGGAGCTCAAGTATACTTCAGCGACTTGACTTACTTTACGGTCAAGGAAAAAGCTGCTGTCAAGAAATGTATTAATTCACCTGCCGAGAAAAATGAAAGAGAAGAAGTTTATTTACAACTCAAATCAGAATCAAACAAGTTAGTAAAATGATATAGACCGGGAATGTTAAAGTAGACTTTCTTGCTAACTATAGCAAGAGAGAGCTTAGTTCCTTCGCTGGTGTTCATTATTAGTGCTTACTTGTGATATTCTCCATAGTGCGAGTGTATATATACTTTATAGAACAATTGAATCGATATGTTGATAAATGAATGAATATTATCAGCTATGCTGTATACTCCCACTGCAGAAAAAGGGAAAGTGTAAAGACGTTAATTTATATATATATACAACCCATCCACTACCATAGCAACCCCAAACCAGCAAAACATAACAACAAAGAGAGTACGTAGGAGATGGAGGTTTATGCCAGCGAAAACAGATAATAAGCTACACTACTACTACTTAAGAATGCACGAGAAAGGCGTTACTGCTGACCTTGTCTTAGACCAGAGATTGCGCACCGATGTGTTCTTCATCGCATACTCATAACATTTGCTGTCAAGAAATAACATGCTGTTATAAAACCGCTTCATTCATTCATTTATTCATCCATAATCCTCCCACCTATCCCAAGCTTAAAATCACTATCACTATCACCATCAACTTCATCCACCCGCACATACAACGCAAGCCAGCCAACAACACAGCAGCTCGAACTGCACGTCCAGAAGATAGGTCCCAAGAGATTATCAACTTTTCCTGTATCTAAAGATCGAAGATAAATAGGTAGGCAGGGATTTATACCTGAAAACCTCAGAAGCAACTTACTGACTTACTAACTACCTAATCAAGCCCGAATATCCTAGGCTAGGATAGTCCCACAGGAAAGATCTAGAGCATTCCACTACATCATAACCTCACCCCACAAACAAGCAAGCAGACTTAGATGAATTAATTTAGTATATAGATATATAGATATATAGATATTCAATTATTCATACAACTAACCACAACTACATACAACCATAAGCATACACATGACAAAGAAAAAGGAAAGAATCCTAGAATGAGGAGTGAAGTATATATTTTTCGTTTGTTCGTTCTTTCTTTCTGTCTTTGCAAGGCAAGCCCCATGTTACACGTACGCCATCGAAATGCATCATCTTCTTTCTCTTTCCTTACTTCTGTACAAAAGGACGCTGTGTCGCCCATCTCCCCTAACTCCCTTATCAACACTGCTTCCCTTCCCCCCTCCCTCTTGTCTCTTCCCTCTCTCCAAGATCCCCATATGTTATTCTTGCCTCAAATAACTGGACTAGGATTCTCAGGCGGACTATCCGTACTTTCCGTCGGGAAAGGTGGCGGGGCGCTCTTCTTGGGATCTCCGCCCCCGAAATACTTTACAAAATCCTTATTCTCATCAAACGGTCTCTTGCCCAGTAAGCGCACCATATCATCTCTGCTCAGCACCTCCTTAGTTAGCAACTCTTCCGCGACAATGCCAATCTCTGATTTCTTCTCGACAAGTAGGTCTTTGCACTGCATGTACGCCTCGTCGACGATACGGCGGACTTCCGAATCGATGGTCTGGGCCGTAGCTTCCGCGAATGGTTTGTGCAGCTTGTTTTCGTCGTCTTCGAAGTGCAGGGGGCCAAGTTTCTTCGACATGCCCCATTTCGTGACCATGGCTGTTGCCATGCGTGTTACTTTGTTGAAATCGTCAGACGCGCCAGATGTTACGGTGTCAAAGTGGATTTCCTCGGATACACGCCCACCGAGCGTCATGGCCATGCGGTCCATGAGCTGGTTGACGTTCATGAGGTATGTGTCTGCTGCGGGGAGGTACTGGGCGTAACCGAGAGCACCGTTACCGCGGGGGATAATGGATACTTTGAGAAGTGGGTCGGCGTATTTGAAGTACCAGCCGCAGATGGCATGGCCCGCTTCATGGTAGGCAACGGTTTTCTTTTCTTCGGGTGAGAGGACGAGGGATTTCTTTTCTAAGCCGCCGATTACACGCTCGATGGCTTGTTCGAAGTGGATCATAGCTACGGATTTGGCGCTTGTTCGAGCAGCTGGGTTTTTGTTAGTAGAAGTTGGAATAAGGGGTGTGTATTATATACCTATCAAAGCAGCCTCGTTACAACAGTTGGCAATATCAGCACCGGAAAATCCGGGAGTAAGAGCTGACAGTCGACCAGTCAAGTATTCCAGATTCTCATGCGTGACAATGTGGCCCAAGTGAACCAAGAAGATCTGCTTCCGGCCATCCATAGTCGGTCGATCGATGGAAATATGTCTATCAAAACGTCCGGGACGCATCAATGCTTTGTCAAGGACATCAGGTCTGTTAGTACCGGCAAGAACGACGACCTGTTCTTGAGTATTGAAACCATCCATCTCAGTTAGGATCTGGTTGAGGGTAGCTTCACGCTCGTCATTTCCGCCACCAAATGAACCAGCCTTTGCACGAGACTTGCCAATTGCATCGATTTCGTCGATGAAAATGATACAAGGTGTATCCTTTCTTGCCATAGCGAAAAGATCTCTGACTCTCGACGCACCAACACCAACAAACATCTCCACAAACTCAGAACCAGACACGCTGAAGAATGGTACTCCAGACTCTCCAGCAGTAGCCTTAGCCAGAAGAGTCTTACCTGTACCAGGAGGCCCAGAAAGGATAGCGCCTCTGGGGATCTTAGCACCAAGTCTCTGGAACTGCTCAGGTGTCTTCAAGAAAGCAACAAATTCCATAATCTCCGCTTTGGCCTCGTCCATACCCGCAACATCCTTAAAGGTGACCTTGATGTCTCTCTCATGGTTGAACTGCTTGGCGCGACTCTTCCCAATGCCAAACATGCTATTGGCACCGCCACCTGATGAACCAGCCTTCCTCGACATCCAGTATATGGCACCAATGAATAGAAGTGTTGGACCAAAGCTATAAATCATAGCCCAGCCATTTGTATCTTGTGTATATTTAACCGGAATCCTCTCAGAGGCTGGGATACCCAGTTCGCTCTGTGCAGCATCCAACCTGTTCTCAAACGCATCCACCGATCCAATCGTGAAGTAGTAATGGAAGTTGGCATTCGCAGCTGGCGATTCGGGGTACATGCTCAGAACCGCGTCACGGTGTAGGTCAACACGTACCCGATCCTGGTTGATGACCGTAAGTTTCTCTACCAGCCCCTTATCCAAGAAAGTGCTTCTGAATTCCTGAAACGTGATATCACGCCCGTTTTCGCCGGGCATAACCATGCGGTATACCAGATACGAGAAGAAAGCCGATGCCAGGAACGTGCCGGTATCCCACTTTATCTCTCCTGGCTTGAATCCCGGCGTACCACCAAAGCCCTTTCCATCATTCTTCTTTTGCCCGCCACCGCTTCCCCCACTTCCACTCGAAGTCTTTCCCTCGCTAGAATCTGACTTGCCCGTTGCCTCCTTGTCCAGCTGCCTCCGCGTTATGTTGTTGACTACTCGGACTAACTTCGCAGCAGACGCAAGCGTCATTGACTTCCCCCTCGTCTCATCAATAAGCTCTTTGAGATCTGTTGGAATACCATCTTTCTTCATGTTCTGCAGCGCCTTCTCAACCATCGCCACCTGGTCCTTGGACAGCCCCTTCTTTATCGTCTTGAGCTCTTCCTCGAATGCCTTCAAGTCCTCATCACTCAAACGCGTCATGCCCTCCTCCAGCGGTTTCTCGGCCCCTGGGGTCTCGAGAGGCGATTGGCCATCTTTATAGAGGTTTTCCGTGCCCGGTGCAGGCTTAGCCGTAAAACCAGGTTTCGTACTATCGTCCTTCACACTTTTCTTAGGTCCTGTGTTCTTCGGCGGCGGATTGCTTGCGTAGGTTCGAGCTTGCTGGACTATTATGCGCGAAGAAGTAGTGCGCCGGACGGCGGATTGAAGAAGGGAAGAGCGGGATAATCTAGCAAGAGAGCTGCTCGATTGCCGTAATATCGAGCTCATGTCTGGCTAGAGAGTTGGGGGGGGAAGGGGGGTAAGGAGAAAGAGTATCACCGGTTCGTGATTAGGTCGCTCTGCTATCTCATTGGCATTGGTGTTGTGGTTGGGTGGCTCTGATGGCAAAAAGATCTCGCAACTGAAGTTGTCATGGATTACTGTACAAATCGCTCTAGTGACATCCCGGCCGAATCAACGCTATCACGTGCACACCATGCTCTCAAGTTCCGAAGGTCTCCTGTTTTTATTTTGTGCAATGTTTTATTCTTATCGTCATATTATTATCAATCATCTTTAAATCTTTAATACATTGAAGGCCATGCCAGACGCGTGCAATCCGTGTTCCATATTGAGAAGAGATATCATATCCCCAAACCATGGCCGTAGTGTATCAAAACGCCCCCATAACCAAGCGCCTCAAATGTATTTCATCCCTTCCATATATAAACTCCAACCAATTCTAGGCCATAATCCTTTACCAATTAATCGTGATCCATGCTCTTCAATTCCATTACATGTGATTTTGTAGAGGGTCATTGCCGTTCTGCGAGTTACCTCCGCCTAGAACTCCGTTCTCAAAAGAGGGATATGTGCCGCCGGTCATACCGGCCCAGTCCCATTCCAGACTCATTGGCATTTGCCATAAATCTTGCGGTACGTAGGGTTGTTGGAACGAATTCATGCTAAGAGGCGAGTTCATATCTCCGTTAGAGAATCCCATCTCCGAGAAATTCGCTGGAGTGCTGTAATCCGTGCCGTTGCCGGTGCCAAAATCCGGTTGCCAGTTCGAACCAGGAGAGCCTTGATTACCCATACTGTGGTTTGGAGAACCAAAACCATTTTGTTGTACGTTTTGGTTGACTGTAGGTGGCGAGAATACTCCGGCGATATTTGGTGGTTGTGTGGTGCTCGTCATGGGTTGTACTCCATGAGACAAGCCGCCTTGCTTTTTCGATGCATGGTCCTCATGGCTCTTCCGTTTTCTTCTCGAAGAGCTATCCTTTTCAGCCTTGTCCAGCACAACCTTAGCAATTCTCTCGAATTCGGAACAGACACCCAGCATTCGCTTCACCCCTCCATTCTCCTCTTCTGTGCTCAACATCGATAAAAAGTTGACCACGACATTCATTAAGCGCACATCGGACCGGGCTCGAGGATCTTGCGGATTTTGCAATATGTTTCCAAATAATGTTACAAGAGCTGATACAGGGAAATATAGAATGAGCCTATATATTGTTAGCAGTGGAGAATTTGGTCGTACAGTAAAACCTACCAAACACATTGAAAGTCTCCTTGCGGAACGTATTTGATCAAATGTATTGACGCTCGAGCTGCCGATACACACAATGCAGCAGACGAAAAGACACGGGGATTCAAAGGCCTGGCATTGAGTCCTTGGATGGCGTAATTCGACAGTCGACTGGTCCAATATCCATGATGTATCGACATGCGGTGGATGGTTGTGAGGCAATTGTAGTAAGCGAAGTGAAGGACTACAACGTGGAGAATCAATGGTGTATGCGAGGCCTTGATCTCATGCTCAGGGCGGAAATCAATAGGTATGCTATCCTTCCATTCCTCTAGTTGTTGATCAAGTACCCCGATAGTATTAAGTAGTTCACCGTCGGATTGCTTGGCAGCTTTCGTGGAGTATAGTTGGTTGTACACTTTACTTTCGATCGTAGCAAACTCAGCCATTAGGCGGAATAGGTTCAGCTTGCCCTTTCCATCAGCCAGGGGTATATTGCCGATGTTATCCTCGGGGTCCGCGCTCGGTAGCTCAACATTCATATCGTCGTCGTCTTGCGCCGGAGGTCGTCCTGATCTCAAACAGATGTCCTTGTCTACAATATACGCAATCCAGAATACACGTTTCCTCTGCTCGATCTCAACAGGGTTAAGATTAAAGCCTGATCCTCGCTTGTGCAAGCCAATGCTATGAGATAATCGAATAGCTGCTGCGACCAGGAAGAAAGTAGGTTGGGGGTTCGGGGTTCCTTGTAAGAATAGAGCCATTCCAAGAAGAGCTTGTACACTGAGAAGATCCGTATTGCGCATCGTCAACTCTGTGAAAACTGCTAATGCATTCTTCAAATATCCGCAAGCTTTCTCATCTTCTTCTTGTGGAACGAGATTACTCATAACTCGAAGTCGGTGAGCTATAGCCAGAGCAACGTTCAGACTAGCCCACCACCCAGAACCTTCATACGGATCTCGAGAATATTGCCGATCGACTAAATGCATAAAAGTAGGTTGGTGGAAAAGCGGAAACATGCAGTTAAAATTCTCGAAGAAATCCTTCATCAGGGATATACATTCGTTCCTGGGTGGAAGTTGTCTGTATATTCGTCGTTGGAATAGGTCACCGAATATCTCTGGCTTCCAATACATCATCTTGTTTTCGTCTACCGAAGCCTCGCATATCATTGTTTGGAAAGAGGAATCGCCGGTCTTATCAGCAACCCATTGAACCCCTTTTGGCGAGAAAATAGAGAATCCAGAAGAAGAACCTATTACAGAATCAGTATAACCTGCAACATTCTTGAACCTGGGGGTCCATACCAATATACCGTGTTTCACCGCAATTATTCGTGACTAATGAGCACATCATGTCCGAAAGTTCCTCTACTTCAGGCTGCTTTTGCTTTTGCTTTTCCTTTTCGTCTGATGTGCTAGAGCGCTTTTCCTTTTCGCTATTTCCAGTTTGCTTTGGTGGTTCTCTTGGTCCTGGCTCTGGAGATGCAATGTGACTGTGAGGTGTTTGACTATGAGGTGTAGAGTCGTTTAAATCTTTCGGCGAGCTTTGAGAACGGGGAGACGTCGGACCCGATGTTGGCGCCAGTGAATCCCTCTGCGCCTGCTGCGTCTCTGCAAGACGTTTCTCTAATGTCCCCAAGTCCGTTCGTCCATTGTCATCTTCTTTTAATAAACCTAAAAGTTTGATTAATAATAGAACTTTGTGTTTAAACCTGGGTAGTAAGTTGGTAATAGACTCACCAGAAAGTCTCAGCAAGCTTTCCATCCTCCCTAATCTATTCTCGAGACCCTCAATATATTTGGCCCTATGCTCACATCAGCATATACTCTACAACGACGGGATAAAGCGGCGTACCCCTTTGGTGGATTCCTCTTCTTCTCAACTTGTGTGAATACACATTCCGTTTTATAATTAATACAATGCGTACACGCGGGCATCTTTCCATCGCACTTGATCTTCTTTTTCCTACACATATCGCAAGCCTAAAAAGCAGCACGTCAGTACAATCCAGTACATCCCACGCGCAGCAATCGCATATATATATCCCTACCCTTGCAATTCTCCTCCTCTTGGCCTCATTACTCTCATCCAACAGTGTTCCATCTCCAAAAAGCGGTTGCGACAAGTCGACCATGTTGGAGGGCATCGGTAGTCCGTCTGCGCTGTATGAGCCGAAGATCTGAGGCGGGGGGTTCATCAACGGCGGCACCGGGATTTGGGACATCTGGTAGCCGTTGCTGTTATCGTGCTGCATCGGCATTGGCAGACCGTCGCGCTGCAGCGAGTCCATCATGGGAGGAGATTGTGAATGGGACATGACCAGAATTAAGGTTGCGCGGGGAGGACTTGGATTTGAAGCGGAGTTTGAAATGGAGAAGTCGCCGTTGCACCGTTCTCGGTGGACGGACCCAAGTATTCGTTTTCGGGATCGGACGTTGTCTTAACTCCCGCTGCGCTGCATTGCACTTTTTCACTGCAGCTGCAATAATGACCAGGATGAGAAAGGGAGTTCCAAAACCGGTACGGAGATGGAGTTGGTCGCTCTTTGTTGTTGACGAAGGATATTAATGCGGGGGGGGGGGGGGGGGTTTCGGTCTCGGTATGTGCGAGTAGAACGAATATCAACAGGTGAGATAGAGAAAGGTAATTCTGAATTTTACCTCTACAAAAAACGTATAGTACTAATACTAGGTACTTAATAAACTTGCCTCGAATTGTCCATTGCTCTCCTGGGCAGCGGTTGTGTTACCTACGCCTAGACTACAATTCTCAGCATGCGATCCGATTGCTTATAGAGCAAGAGCGGGAATATGTACAGGGTACTGCGCCCCCGTGTCATCATCAGATCAGATCCACACACAAACAGAGATCTGCACTTCTGTGACAACACGTGGACCTCTCTGACCTCACTCACCCAAGTCTAGTCTTCTTTCACCCAGCTGAAGTCTTCAAAGTCCAGGTCCAGATCATTTATTAAATAAACTCACCCACAAGTAAACCAATTATGATTCTCTTCAACAGCTACTATTTAATAAAGTATATACGAAGTACATACCTACCCTACGTACCCCACCAATACACATTTTCCCCCTCCCCCTAAGTCTAAAAGTGCCGTTACATCTGCCCCACCCCACCTCCCCCTGCTTACTGTACACAGACATCTCGGATTCTCATACAATCATGAAACTCGCACACAGCCTTCCTTCCCTTCACTTCCATGAAGCCATTCGCAAGACCGCCAAAGCGCCTACCTACCTGCCTTGTGACAAATACCAGAAATACCTAGGTACCTACTCTCAAGTACGCTTACTCAGCCACATGTGCAGGTATGTAGGTATACCTGATCTACCTAGCTGCATGGTCTTTTTGCACGCAAGGTATCGTATGATTCATACTGTATCAGCGATGAACTCGGATACTGTACAGTACAGTAAGCTAAGGTACAGCTTAGTAAGTTTACTTGCTTGTTTCTATCAATACCGGTGCAATGGAATGGTTCATTGACTGTCACTATTTCTTCTCATCATTGCACCGACTCGGATTTTGATTCGGGCATTATATTTTTTCGCTTCCACACAATTACTACAAATCCACCTGATCTTGCGTATAATATGATACAAGGGTGGCGCAGACCGAGATGGAATATTAGGTTTAGCCCCTTTCTTCTTCTCCTTCTTCTCCTTCTCTGTCTCTCTCTCTACCCAAGATGACTAGAGAAGCTTGCCTAAATGCAAGCCCTTCCCTTAAAATATCCTTTTGTAAACCAGAAGGACTTCGCTCCGCTGGTACGCCAATCAGCCGTAGCAACAAATGAGATGAACATCTCATCTAGCATTGCCTGGTATCGCACCCGTTAATTACATCAGGAACAAAGAACGCCAATTAAATAGAAAACTGCAATGGTATCCATTCCGCCAGGCGGCCAAGAGGGCAAGTGCGTGCTCGCATAATTGCTCGAGAAGATTTCGTCCATTATCTGCAGGGAATTGAAAGTAGATTCGTAGTCGTCGATAATTGAAAATCCCTGGATCGAGGGACAAACAAGTCTTATCCCACCTCCGCTCAGACCTCTTCGGTAAATCTCGACCCATGAGATCCATCTTGAGATGGATGAGACCGACCTAGTTGGTCAGGCCGTCTAGGAGGCGTTAAAGGAGGAGGTGGTGTATTCCCGCGTCCAAAAGGTCCAAAAGGTCCATGCTCTGTCACAGGCGTCCTCGCTGGACTTGGTCGCATAACTGGAACTCCACTGTCTCGTGGCGGCATGACAGGCGATGAGACAGGGGGTGGACTGCCGGGACCACCATAAAAGCCCGTCGAATCGCGATAGAATGATGATCCACTAGGAAAATTGTCATGCACACCTCCTCCATACCCATCACCACCTGTCTGGAGTACTGATGGTAGCTTTCTTCCTGATACCCGATAGAACCCTCGTTCACTTCCCGCTGTTGATGATGCTGTTGCAGTTGTTCCTACTGTCTTCTGAGATGCCCTCTTGTTCTTTCCAGTTAGAGTGGCCAGAGCAGCTGGTACTACAAAAGCCAGAGACCGTCGCTGAGACATTCCACCAGGAGGCCCAGATGGAGCGGGGGGTGCTTCACGCACTTGGTCGGCACCTTCAGTCCCATTGCCCAAGGGTAACATCGAATGTTTTCGTTTCCACCATTTTATCAGAAGGAGCAAGAGAAGCCCAATCAAAGCCAGACCCGCAAGACCGCCTAGGACGCCTCCCAGAACCTTAGGGGTGACGGATTTCGATCCAGAAGAAGTTCCAGAAGCTGCAGTACTGGACGGGGTCCCTCCAGAAGTTGCGCTTGTTCCTCCAGCACCAATACCGCCAGTACCCGTCGAGGTCGATTGGTATGATGAAGAACTAGGTGAATATCGAGACGAAGTCGAGGAGGTAGCAGAGGACCATTCACTAGATGATGAAGTCGACTTAGATGTCGAACCAGAAGTCGAGCTCAAACTTGACGCTGAACTTGATGATGAGACATATGTGAGCGATGATAGTGAGCCGGATGAGACCGAGGAGATCGAGGAGAATACGGTCGAAGATATCGTGGAGGAGCTTGAGGAATTGGAAAAGTTTATGGAGGAAACAGTGGCGGCAGACAAGCTACTGGAGCTTGAAATTACTGAGGATTGTTAGTATTCAATTCGCCTACCACATCAGATCCCCCTGAGCTTACAAGTTGTTGAATTAGAGCTAGCACTGAGAGATGGAATACTTGTGAGTTGCACTGAAGGAGTGGAAGTCAGAGATGTTGTCGCTGAACTGGAATTTAATGATTGTGATGCAGAAACGAGTGACTGCGTAGGGAGCTGTGGTGTGATAATGGTCGAAGAAGCGCCAGACGCAGACCCGGTCGAAGATGGGCTTCCTGGAGTTGTCGATGGCTGTGATGTTGAAGAAGAGTCTGTCAATGATGGCGCGGAACTGGCCAGCACCGTCAGAACCGAAAAGGTACTGCCTTGGGAGTCGACATCGATCTGCTGAAGATAAGAGACTGTGGCCACGACTTCGGTAACGACTGACGGAACAACGACAACGGATGTGTCTACCTGCCGCGCGTGTGCTTTGTGGTTGTGGTGAAGATGTCGGTGATCGTGTTCGTGTTGGTGTTGCTCGCGATGAGCTTCGTGGTGCCTGGCCGAAATGAATGGCGGCTTTTCAGGCGATTCAACGTCGTCGCGCATGGCGGCGGCCACGCTGTGCTGCTCTACAGCAGTGTTTGCAGAATTGACTCCGCAAAAAGCGATTGCAAAGACATCAGGTCATCGCTGGCGACAACGAGACGAGACAAGAGGTTGTTGAACTTGCACTTGCTTGGGTGGGAAGGTCGAGATCAAGACGGTAGGGTAGGTAATCTCGTACCTTTTCGTACCCTTCTGGCGTCCCTGAGCTAAGCGAAATTTGCATCGCACTAAAATGGGACTAAAGGGGACTAAGACGTGGCCGCCGAGCGAATGAGAATACGAGGGGGGGGGACCCGCATTCAAGGGTCGGGCATTCCATCTTGACATTGACCAATCACAAATATATCCGTCTTATTACGAGTAGGATTGTGGCAGGGGAGCCGTTTTCTTAGCTCGAGGCTCTTGCTGGAAGGATAGGTTACTCCGTACGGAGTACAGTAATAAAGCGTAATATAATAAAGCTCGAGTATAGACTAGGATAAGCAACAATGATTGAGATGACTAACTAATGAAGAGTGAAGATCTTCTTCTTCTTCTTCTTCTTCTTCTCTACCCCGCCCCTTTTGCTTATGGAAAAGAGAGATGATTTTTCAGTCAAAACTCATGGGTTTTGGGCCAACCAGATACAGTATACTACCATACTTTGTATTTTATACCTGAGGCCGCACAGGAATCCTGGTTGTTGGACAAAGAAGATGAGGGTGTGGTGTGGTGCGGTGGGCCCAGAGTTATTTTGGTTGATGGGGCTCTCAATCCTTCCCGATGGTTGCCAACGGCTTTGTGCCTCTTTGTGTCCTAAGGGGCAGTTCGAGTGGTAGTCGGTATACCGGAGCACCTTGGGTAATTATACAATTAATGAAGAGAAAGGAGACTGCCTAGGTGCATCTACGGAGGATATTCACAAACAACCACAATTTTACCGTACCAACTTGATGCCGGTACGACCTCTTTCTTCTAACCTTTGAAACTTCTAGACCGCGTCAAGGTTTTGTCTGAGCGCCGGCATGGAACCTCTTTCTTGGCGGCTCCATCTCATCATCCGAGACAGGACCACCCACCAACTTGAACCATCCCAAGGCATTTATTGTCTAATCCCACAAGGAATCAAGCGCCAGCAAAACCAGTACCTTCGTAGTCGACGAGTCGTAAGGTAATTTGGCTAAATGACTACTTACTATACAGGGTCTACAGTATACTCAAGCATGTGACATAGACTGATGCATGATGATAACAGACCCCGCAATAATGATAAACCCCATCTCAATAGATCGATCGCCTCAACTCCAAACATGATGTACGAAACAAAACAACGGAAGAGGTGATCTGTGAATCATTGCCAAGCGGAACAACTTCAACAGTCATGGCAACGCAAAGCCAAATGGACGAGAAGATTCGGCCTGCAGCGCCAACATATTCTGTTGAGCATTCGGCAACTCCTGCACAACTCGCAGAGAAGGCAAACAGTCAGAAGTATCTCTCCCACGAGATGGCCACACCTGCACAGCTTGATGAGAAGCGTCGAGGTAACACCGCTTATCCGCCGCCTCCCCCTCTTGCAAGCGCTGCAACGCCTGCGCAGCTATCTGAGAAAGCCCAATATGCCCCCGAACGTCGAGGAAGACCACCCCCACTACCGCCTCGAATGGGCTCGATACCTGCTTCTGCTCCTCCTGCATACAGTGCAGCCGACGATGCAAAGAGAACCGAAATGATCTCTGAGCAATGGCATTCCAATGATCCAAGATCCTCCTCAACACACTCCCTGGTGCCCTCCGAGTCCGGTCGGGATGGTCGACGGACTTTGCTCCTCGTATACATCCATGGGTTTATGGGCAACGAAACTAGTTTTCAAAGCTTCCCAGCACACGTTCACAATCTGCTCTCCATCACACTTGAAGAGACTCACGTTGTACATACCAAAATATACCCAAGATACAAGTCGAGGAAGGCGATTGAATTTGCTAGAGATGACTTCAGTACTTGGTATGCCCAACTCTTTCTTCCTTTTCAACACATCTAGCTCATGAATATTCAAGGTTGGAGCCAAATGAGAATCATTACACAGATGTCGTCTTGCTTGGTCACAGTATGGGAGGAATTCTCTCTGCAGAAGTGGCGCTCCAAGAACCACAATCTGTTGCTACAGGGAAGCCCTTTCGGCACAGGATACTGGGTACAATCAACTTTGATACGCCCTTCTTGGGAATGCATCCTGGGGTCATAGTCAGTGGCATTGGAAGTTTGTTCCGTCCCGCAGACCCTCCTCCCGGGCAACGGCCTAGTCAGTCATCAACCAGTGGAGCTACTTCGCCTACTGCATCTGGATCATCTCCTAGCTATACTCCCTCAGTAATTGACTCTGATTCCACCTCTCAGATTAGTCTAGTTCAAACCATCACATCGCCCTTGGCTACCCCACCACCAAATGATCCTTTCTTCAATCCTCCATTCCCAAATGATGTTCGATTACCAGAACGGAAGGGATGGTCCAACCTGCTTCATTTTGTTAACAAACACTCCGATGGCCTCACTTCGGCAACGAAATCATATTTCATGTCACATTTGGAATTCGGCGGTGCCATGGCAGATTATCCAGGCTTGAAGAATCGTTATGATAGGCTTCGTGCATTGGAAGATGTTGATGATCTAGCGAGGCGAGGCGGGTCTGGCTATCAGCCTCCAGTAAGGCGGATTCGATTTACAAATTATTACACAGCTAGTACTGGTAGGCCCAAGGAGCCGAAGATTCCACCTGGGCAGATGATAGGTGAAGACGGGAATATGAAACCTATCGAATCTGAGATGCAGGACATCAGCCTAGGCGCTGCTAGCACTTCAACCATCTCTGTGGACAAACACGGGGATGGTACTGTCACACCGAAACAGCTAGACACAAAAGAAACATCCTCAGTGGAGGCACAAATGGAAAATCTTGGTAAAAGTTCCGGTGTCCAGGATGACTTTCAAGAACCTCCAGAGATGATGCATATTGATTCCATGCCCATGGAGGACGATGAGTTCCCCGAGCCACTGACTACCACGGAAACGGGGGCATCAGAAACACCAGCTCAAGAAATCAAGCCCAGTGTAACCGAACCATCGCTTCCCCCAATTCCACCGGCACCTACAGAGCCAGAGGCGATTGATCTCAGCCTATATACTGACAAAGACTCCCGGAAGATCGCCGAGAAGGAACAAAAGCGCATCATGAAAGTCTACCAACAAGCTGTGAAAGATCGAGAAAGCGCCATCAAGGACAGAAAGAAGTTGGTTGAGAAGCGAGAGAAGAAAGCCCGACAGGACCGAGAGAAGGAACTGAAGGCGGAAGATAAACAGCGATTGAAGGAAGAGAAAGAAGAAGAGAAGCGTCGGGCTACGATTAATCCTGCGCCGCCGAAGGAAAAGGAAAGACAAGCCTCTGTGACCTCCTCGATCGTCAGAGATGACAAGCCCAAACGAGACAAGAAATTCTGCATGCTGCCTCCAGAGTATGGTGGCAAGAGAGACAAGTGCTGGATCCGAGTGTACATGGAAGGCGTTGATGAAGTCGGAGCGCATTGCGGCCTATTTTTTCCCGGCCCACAATATGAGAGTTTAGTCGGGGATGTGGGTGCGAGGATTGGGAAATGGGTCGAGGAAGATGCTACAAGGCGAGCTGTACTTGCTGCTGAGAGAGGTTAATGATTGATGATAGAATTATGCTTTACGACGTTGATTTCACTCACGATGTATTCAGAGATATGATACCCTACCTAGGTAGAAGCAACACGAAGATTTATGATTTATTAATATATTCGACCTAATATTTCTCACATATCAGAACTTGACCATGTTTAATATGCTCCATATGTATTAAAACATGCCATTAACAAACAACCACGTCTCTACCTGATGCATTCTGCAGTATCACAGCAAAAATGCCCTATCCTCCGTAAAGTTGGGGAACTCTCATTGGCTGAACCTACCCCACCAACGCCATCTCCACTTTTGAAGCTGTCTGCACTGACTCTGCGGAAAGCTACCCCACAATAGCTAGCACCTCAAGTGCATATAATTATTGCCCCCTACCTCCAAACGCTCTCTTCAACGACAGGCCTCTTCTTTCACTTATACTATAATGTCTCAATTGGACTCTCTCATTTCCCACTCCCAGCTATAATAAGTCGAGATAGGTAGAATGGCTACCCAGGCCAGCACAGCGCATACCTACACCTTGCCCACCTCCTCTCTCCCCCACTCCCATTCCCAATCTCAATCACAGGCAACAAACACGCAACATCATGCGCGTAAGACCTGGCGTTCGAGATTTAACCTCCTCTCCCCCTCCCCGTCCCCATTCCCATCATCGTCGTCCGACCCAAATGATCTCCAGCAGGAAGCCACAAGGGAAAGCGCTGCACGGAGCTCCAGTAGACATGTAGCGAAATGGTGGAAGATACGTTTTTTTCGCGGCATGGTCCATGATGTGAGGAGAAGAGCGCCGTACTATGGGAGTGATTGGTTAGATGCGTGGGATTATCGGGTGGTGCCTGCTACGGTGTATATGTATTTCGCCAAGTATGTTTATGGAATCTCCTTCTCTCTTGTGGTGCTGTTGCGGTACATTTTTGTTTATCTCAGTTTGGTTTCTAGGAGATGGAGTAATTGGAAAGTGGAAGTGGAAAGTTGAGTGAGCAAGCAAGCTAATGAGGGGATGGATGGATTTTAGTATTTTACCTGCGTTGGCATTTTCGCTGGATATGTAAGTTTGTTTCCTGAGATGAGGTGTTTATTCATTAGCTGGGAGAGGTGTTAATTGATAAATAGGTTTACAAAGACGAATATGAGTTATGGTGTTAATGAAGTGCTGCTTGCTTCTGTCCTGGGGAGTGTGGTGTTTTCGATCTTTGCTGCGCAGCCGTTGGTTATTGTTGGGGTTACGGGACCAATTACTGTTTTTAATTAGTGAGTATATCATATCATATGGTGTGATACCCAGAGGGAATAAGAGAGGGAGAAGATCGAGGGCTGATGGCTGGTGTGATGAAAGTACGGTATACGATATCATGACGCCAACTGGGACGAATTATTTTGCGTTCATGGCATTAATCGGCCTGTAAGTCCTACAATCCCTTCACCCCATCATCATGTGACTGATATGAGGGTATTAATGCCAAAGATCTAATGAAAACGCAGATGGTCCCTAGTAATGCATTGGATCCTCGCCATAACCAACTCCTGCAACGCCCTAAAATACGTAACACGTTTCTCCTGCGACATCTTCGGCTTCTACGTCGCCTTCATCTACCTGCAAAAAGGCATCCAAGTGCTCACCCGGCAAGGCTCCTCGGAACCCTTCTACCTCTCCATCGCCATCGCGCTTCTAGTCCTCGTAGTCGGCTACTTGTGTGGGGTCGTCGGCGGAGGCTCTTTGTTTCAGCATTATATCAGAGTGTTTGTTAAGGATTATGGCACGCCCCTGACAGTGGTGTTCTTTACGGGATTCGTGCATATTGGGAAGATGAGGGATGTTAGTCTCAGTACGCTGCCGACGGGTAAAGCTTTTTTCCCGACGACGGATAGGGGGTGGTTTGTGCATTTTTGGGATATTAGGGTTTCTGATGTTTTCATTGCTATCCCATTTGCCATTTTACTAACCATTCTCTTCTACTTTGACCACAACGGTATTCTTCCTCTTTATTTCCCCTTCAATTTTATGACAAAATCCTAACAAGAAATAGTATCATCCCTCATAGCCCAAGGCACGGAATTCCCCCTCCGCAAACCCGCCGGTTTCCACTGGGACCTCTTCCTACTAGGCCTCACAACCGGCGTAGCAGGCCTCCTCGGAATCCCCTTCCCCAACGGTCTCATCCCGCAAGCACCCTTCCACACGTCCTCCCTGTGCGTCACGCGCGTAGTCGCAGACCCCAACGAAGACGGCGCCAACAAAGGCCACGTCATCACCAAAACCGACCACGTCGTGGAACAGCGCGTCTCGAATCTGGCGCAGGGGCTTCTAACGCTGGGAACCATGACGGGGCCGTTACTCGTAGTGCTGCATTTGATCCCACAGGGTGTACTGGCCGGTCTGTTTTTCGTAATGGGTGTACAGGCCCTCGAAGGCAATGGTATTACCCTTAAAATCCTCTTCCTCTGCAAAGACAAGACCCATACCCCGGCCTCGGAACCCCTCAAGAGAATCCGCCGGCGCCTTGCCATCTGGGTCTTTGTCGCTATTCAGCTAATTGGCTTCGGTGCTACGTTTGCGATCACGCAGACTATTGCCGCCGTGGGGTTTCCGATTATCATTTTGCTGCTAGTTCCGGTGCGGACGTTTTTGCTGCCGAGGTGGTTTTCTGAGGACGAGCTTAGGTTGTTGGATGCGCCGACTGCGAGTCCGTTTACAATGGTCAGTGTGGGAGGGAACTTCGGAGAGAGTGTGGAGGATTTGACGATGGCGGGTGAGGAAGGAAATTCTGGGGGAAGTAGTGGGGAGGGAGTGCTTGTTGGTGGTGGAGATGCAGAAGGGGAGAACAGCGACGAGGGGAAAGCTGAGAGGGGGGAGGGCATGAAGAGGAGGGAGAGTTGGAGGGCGGAGGGGAGGAGTGGAAGGTTCGAGGCTGGGGAGAGCTATGAGATGCAGAATCGGGGGATGAGTAGGAGGAGCGTGAGTAGGCAGTAATTCTGCTGCTTTTATTTTCTTTGGTGTAATTCACTGTGGATAGCACCGGTCGCGATACAGATACATAAACATATAAGAGACCTCATCCACGCGCTTTATTCGCTCGTCATAGAATTCCTTCTGTGCCCCGCCTCCTCTCATGTGTGACTCTGTGCCTTCATTGTTCAGCAACCATTTAACTCCCTTTATTTCCTTCTTTCATGGTATTTGTAGTAGAAGAGTAGTGGATCGAATTAATACGCTTCTTCCGCTTCTCCTGAACTTTACGTCTAGAGAGGTATAAGTCCCCGCTCTACCATTCAACTTTCCCAGCCAATGTTAATAGCAAATCTAGCCTATGATTATCTAAAGTGGTACGTAATTCCATTCTTAACCAACACCTGCGGGGTCTTTTTTCTATAGGTTAAAAAGTATTTCCATTAGCTTTAAGGTGTATAGTGTTTAGATATTAACAAGTCTATCTAAATGGATAAGTATACCGATTAAAGGTTTATTTTGACAGCAGAAGAGGCGCTTTAACAGTAGTGTACCTTGGCTGGCGTTGGGATTCTTTGACGATACACCCTCTTTGTTGCGCGTGCGCAATATGTATATTTGTTCTGTGGAATGACGAATAGTCCCTCTGTTGTGGAGATTTCGCGCTTTTGGTACCTGCAGGGATTTGATGAGAAGGGGACGGGGTCGATTATGGTCTCTGTTGTTCAGCATTGGACTGTACTAGAATGACTCTTCTCCCTGCATTTGTCTCTTTCACTTCTACATCCAGAAGCTTTGATTTTGCTCTCTTTTCTTTCATCCTCGAAACACTCTGGAATCCTCATTAGCTTCCAACCCACCTGATCCCAAAGCGCTCGAGCGAGCATACTTCCCGTTCTTTGTGCGATATTGTTCATTTTTTCTTCCGCGAGAGCCGATTCATAATCCATCCGCCTCGTTCGACCACAATCACGCTTATGATAAGCAGAGGCACAGTAATTACTGCCCATATCCAGATGGATAGCGTTCCCTGGCCAAACTGGACAAAATTAATTCCAAACACTGCGGTGACGTACGAGATGGGGAGAAATATGAAGGTTATTCGGTTGGTGGCTTTTGTTAGCTTGCTGACCAATTTGGATTCTTCAGCAGACCGCCGACTATCCTGTATAGATGCGTTGCTCATCAGGGTTGACTTTCCAGTATCACATATCGAAAGCAGCCTCTCCGTTCTCGAAACCAAGTATCGCAGATCATCTTGTAGCGAAGATAGTAAGCCGGACTGATCATCAGAGCCGGCACTAGATGGAGCCGAGTGTCGCCTCAGTGACGGTCTTGATAGAGAAGAAATGACTTCCGCGAAGTGCTGGTGGAGTCTCGTAAGAGCAATTTTGGCATAATCAAAGTGGAGAATTGTCTCGAGCTTCGTATGTTCGTATGAGGGAAACTTGCTACCCCCTAGATGATCTGAGAGAACTTGTTCTAACATGTTGATATACTGCAACGCGGATGCCGCCTCAAAAGCCAGCAATTCCTGGAGCACAAAGAGTGGCGAAGGATCAGGACACCCGACCCAATCAATAGTAGCACCATAGTTACTGCTCAGGAGTGTTAGCGGCTGCTTGGACGGGCTTGCTGGGAACGTAGCATTGGCATTCTCCTGGGGCCCGCGTTCTGTAAGTTCACTTTCGAAGAAAACAGGGCAGAATGCTAATTCCGAAGAGACAGTCGAGAACCCCTCTGTTGATGGTACCGGTATGTGCTCATGTCCTGTTTCGCTACCGGCATCTGTCCAAACGAGTACTGTATTTGCAATTAGTACGAAGATGATCGAAGCGATCGGCTGAAGAACTGACATGTCCATTGCTCTTCTCTTTGAATCAATGTAATCGTCACCTCTTGCTCAACAACTAGAGCGCTTCCATTATGGATGTGCATTCGTCTCATGATGGATTTACCCGCTTCCGATAAAGAGCTGTCCTGCATGGATCGAAGCAGTCTTCGTAATTGGACGTTGCAGTCATTTCTTGCCAATTCCAGTCCTCGAACATCCACATCACGGCCTTGCGATCCGATAAATACGATGGATGGGATACACAAACGAATTACTTCCAACGATCGAGACGGCAATGTTGGAACCGAATACCAATGTCTCTGATTTGCGAGTATTGAACCAAGGTGCTGGTGGAAAAAGCGTTGGTCTAGCTGGTACCTGGAGCCGACTGCATTCAGCCATTCCGCAGAAGGACGACCGGTCAGGAACACTACTTCTTTTCCTGCAGGAGATGGAGATGCGATGTACACTTTAGGGTCATCGAAAGCTCTGAGTTCTGGTTTCTCAGAAGACCTTAATATATATTGCTGAATGAAGCATTGCCGCCGCGACACCTGAAGGATGAGATCTGCCTGTGGTCTCCTCGACTGCTTGTAAAAAGGGCTCTTGAGAAATTTGGCCAAGTAGGTGAGGTACGCGGATGAGTGCAGTGGATCTGTTTCGAATGACCGTACTCGATTTGCCAATGAGAGGGCATATCGTCGAGCATCATCGCATTGATCAGAGGACGCAGAGCGTATGTTGTGTAGGTCTTGTCCTGGCGGCATTTCTATGGCAATTCCCAATACGTGAGCTGGTGAGGGTTTTAACAAGCCGATACCTCTTCTATGGCGGTGTCATGCAGAGCGTGTCTGACTCGAATTTTCAACCTGGGGGTCGCCAAAACACCTCGTAGCTTTCTTATGAACTCGGCATGATCTCGTGAGACATTTCACTAACTTACAGGGCGATGTATAATGCGTGTGGTGGGCTCCCAAGGGGGCGAGCTCAAACCGGATTCTCCGATTATATTGCTCTATGGCTGTCGTGTCTCGTAGGCGTGAAGTGTTGTGGTGGCTTGGCCAACACAGGGTGGGCAGTGCATTTAGAGGTCGTACATCTAAGGCCAGGCTGAATTTTGCCAATGAACTCGTAGCTTTCTTATGCACTTAGCATAATATGATGAGACATTGCACTAACCTACAGGGCGATGTATAATGCGTGTGGTGGGCTTCCAAGGGGCCGAGCTCAAATTGGATTCTCCGATTATGTTGCCCTATGGCTGTCGTATCTCGTGGGCGTGAAGTGTTACTGTATGCTGGCTTGGCTAACAAAGAGTGGGCAGTGCAGTTGGGGTCGTACATTGAAGGCCAGGCTGAATCTTGCCAACGAACTCGACATATGATGGAATTTCTGCACAATAATAACCGGGCTCATCTGCTCCATGACCAAGGACTCCTACTCATCATATGGAATACAACAGTGCACACAAGCGACATGGCCAAAGTTGACATGATCCAAGGCTCTGGCGACGCTACCACGCCGAAGGCAAAGTGAGTCGGCGACTTGAATCATTTAGTGATTATGACCTGACAAAGAGAATCAACATAGCTTCATTGTTATACCCGGAATCGCTGGAACGAACTTGGACCTCAGTACTTGTCCACACTTTCGACCTTGGCTAGATCGCCTCGTCGCAGACTGGAAATGTCTAGCCCAAGTTGGTTTTACAACCACCCATTGGAAATTGATCAGCTGGAATCTTGGGATATCTATTCCAGTACAGGAGACGATTTTTTGAACCAACTCATAGCGATGCAGAAAGACCATGTGTTCGTGAGTTGCCGCTCCCTGAGTGTTTTGATACCGGAGGACTGAGCACGCGCAGGGCGAGCGAGATAGCCTAATTTTGATCGGTCACAAGATGGGTTGCTACATATTAAAGCAAGTGAGTGAAGATAGAGTGTTATGTCGTAGGCCCGCCGAATTAACAAAATATCTCAGGCTTTGGCTGAAGCCCATTTGCGGGACAGGCCCGAGCAGAGAGAGCTACTTAATAAGGTCGACACAATTGTGATGGTCGGCGAGCCGGATCTTCACCCAGACAACAAATGGGAGTGGTTTGATCTCATCTGTTTATCATTAGAGAGACCTCTTCCAATAAGGCTTGCTGATAATCTCAGTGTGGGTGTGCTCCAACGCATAGCCGAAAGTTTCGAGGCAGCTCTACTCTGGTCGACCATGTTCGAAGTGACTGGTGTGCCGAGGAAGAAACCAAAACTTCGTTGGAAACTCCAACGGTGCAAGTCCAGTGGCTGTATCTGTGCCGCCAAAGTACAGGTACGGCTAGGTACGACCGCCAGCGAAGATAGGAATGTTGAAACGGGCCCTGGAGACATTAAGGAATGCACCTTCCACCCAAACAGCGGTCACTATCAAAACCTCCTCTTGCTCGATAGCGCTCCAAATCTGGCCCATTTTCAGATTTCCAACTCACCCTCAGCCGAGACTAGTCATGTGGACGACTCACCAGATATCCTTCGAAATCGATCTTACGACCAAGGTAACATCGCGATTTTGCATGAGGCTCGAGACCTAGAAGACCTTGGACTTACCGACACTTCCTTGGAAGAGATACCCGAATCCATCACTCCCTCATCTCTTCATTCAGAATTAAATTCCCTACAAGAACAAGGCGACGATCAACTCAGCTCCAATAGCAAGGCCATCTCAAGTTGGGGGAATCTAGAGACAATCGTCGAAAAGCGTAGCGAAGACACTAAGTCCACCATTGACGAAAATGCCGGCCCGCCACAACGAAAGAGGAAACCCATCTTTTCAAGTTCAATACCACCCAGAGATGAGCACTTCTATGGAAGAGAGATAATTTTAAGGATTTTGAACGAAACTATTGAAAGCATCTCTTCATCATCCGAAACGAGCTGTCTTTACCTGAATAAACCTCAAACATTGTGCTTGACAGGTGTTGGAGGCATTGGAAAAACTGCGATTGCATTGGAACACCTCTATCGTTCGACCAACAGCGTTGACCACCTTTTCTGGATTAATGCAAGCTCCCAAGCAAGTTTAGGGAAGCATATTCATGATTTTGCGGTTGCGCTAGATTTGGTGCAAGGAAGGACAAGTCAAGATCACCAAGCAAGCAGGATTAAGTTCTTGGAATGGTTGGAAAGCAGCGGCAAAACATTTC